ATAAATATATGTATATGGATGATGAAGATAACTGCATTCACCTTTCCACATTTTTGAATAGGTGTCTTGTTCTTGTGATACACAGTACTTGATCTTACATAGAACTTCTGTATTTTGCTGACCTGGATGGAATTTATACTGGTATAAGTGGTCATTTTGTGAGCTCAAACTAGAACTGCCTTAATGACCTTATTCTTTTCTACTTGCTACCTAATCTAGGATTTTAATCTAAGCTAATACTGTGCTTGTGACCTATTTTATCATCTAAGCTTTTAAGAACATCATGATTTGACATGTATTGGGAATGCTTAGATAAAATGCCCTGCCAAGCATGTAAAATATAGAATCAGAAATGATAGAAATTTAAGAGCTTAATCTCAGTCAGTAGAACATACCAGTGGCAGTTTTCCTGCTAACTCATCTTTACCATCATTGAACTACGTCAGTCATTTTTAAGCCCTAAATTATGCATGTAAGTCACCTGGGGGTAAGGTTAAAAAGCTCTACCCCAAGATATTGATTTATTAGAGTTGGGGTGTGATACAGAAATCTGAACTTTTAGCAAGTTTCTAAGTTAATTCTAATGCAAAAGACCTGAGAACCACACTTTGAGGTACACTGATTAAGAGATCTTTAAAATCCTATTTGTCCTTGATAATTTATGACTCTACATATCACAGTGAGAATAGTGGTCATTTAGAATTATGGATACTGGACACTGGAAGCTCTCAAGTTAGTTGGCCAATAACTTATTTTTTTTAAATTTCTCTCTAATTTTCTACATTTTCAGATGTTTTCCAAACACTAAGCACATATTGATTATTCAATGAGAAAAATATTTTTTCCCATAGCTCTGAGCATATAGTATATCTAAATTTTAAACACTGATATCCCAACAAGATTTTTTAGGTTTTTTTAATTTTTAGTAATAAAAGCAATACATTTCTATTATAGAAAATTTACACTATTCAGAAGAGTGCATAGGTGTGCTTAACAAAACTACCTTGAATCTTTGCTTCCTGGTATTTCTCTGACTTTTTAATACACGTTTTAGGGTGCTTTTATTGATTATTCTGTTTCTCAAACCTGCTAGGAACACATTGCAGAGTATTTGCTTTTGTGTTCCCTCTGTTTAGCAAGCTTTTCCACCAGCTATCTTTATATTTTGTTCTTGCATCTCCTTCAGATGTTTGCTCAATATCACCTGTGAGGCCTTCCCATACCATCTTAGAAAAAATTATAACATGAACTCTATCTCTGCAACTCCTTACCCTCTTTCTCGGTATTATTTTTCTTGAAACCACAGATTATCTTCTGACATATATACTATTTACTTAGTTGTTTTGCTCATTTTCTGATTTCCTGCTACAAGAATAAAAGCTCTGGGTGGGCAGGATTTTATCTGTTTTTTTGTGGGTTTTTTTGAGTGCTTTTTCTTCAGTGACTGCCTGGCATGTAGTTATTGCTCAATGAATATTTGTTGAATGAATGAATGAATTGAGCAGTGATTTTTTAGAATTTTAAAAAATATAAGTAAGTCAAAGGAATATAAATTTTCCCATCTTACCACTCAAAAATAGCCAACTATTTACCTTGTGATGTATATTCCTTTTATTTTTAATATTTGTGTATATATAAAATTTTAAATACAGAAACATAACTTTTAAACATAAATTTTTAAATACAGTAATGTGCCATTTAAATTAACTACATAAACTTTTCAAACCATTTATAATCACCCTTAGCATATTAAGTAAGATGTTTTTATATATGTTCATATATTTTTATCCAGTTTTTTCCTTTCAACTTTGTTTATGGTGTATTTTAACTTAAAAATTAAATTTTAAGATTTTTTTTTAATTATAAAAATGACTTTGAGTCAATTTCTCTCTAATATTTTGAGTCACTTTCTCCCTAAATATCAAGAAACAAATTATGTCTATTCATTGATTACCTTTGTAAAATGAGAAATTTAGCATACCATTGTTTTCTTCTTTTCTTTCACTAAACCCAATACTGGGGAAAACAATCTGATTTTGGGGGGTTTCTTTTTTTTTTTTTTTTGATCCAATTTCTCCCTCTTTACCTGGGCTAGAGTGGTACAGTGGTGTATTCATAGCTCACCACACCCTCAAACTCCTGGGTTTAAACAATCCTCCTGCCTCAGCCTCCCAAGTAGCTGGGATTACAGGCACACACGCTGCCACAGCCTGCCTAATTTTTCTGTTTTTATAGCAACAGGGCTCTTGCTTTTGCTCAGACTGGTCTCAAACTCCTGATCTCAAGTGATTCTCCCGCCTTAGCCTCCTACAGTGCTAGGATTATAGGTGTGAACCACCAATCCCAGCCTATGAACATTCTAAAACATGTCTTTTGGTGAACATAAATACCCGTTGCTGTTGACTATACAGTTAGGAGTGGAAATGCTGGTCATAGGGTGTGTATTTGTTCAACTTTAGAGGATTCTGCCAATGAGTTGTCCAAAGTGGTTATTCCAGTGTACATTCCTGTGATCAGTATAGGAGAGTTTCAGTTATTCCACATCTTTGCCAACCTATGGTATTGTGCAACTTAGCCTTAATGTTGTGGGAGGCTGAGGGAGGGCATTATTCTATTCATGAGGGATCCACTCCCATGACTCAAACACCTCCCATTTGGCCCCCACCTCCAACATAGTGATTAAATTTCAATATGAGGTTTGGTGAGGCAGGGGAGAAACATGTCAACCCTAGCAATAAATTTGTAACTTTAAAATTGTTCTATATGTCAATTTTTTATGTCTTATGTAATGAATCTTTTCCTATTTCCAGAAAAGATATTATCATTAGTTTTCTTTTAATACTTTAAAATTTTATCTTACATATATAGATTTCCAATCTCTCCTTTTTAATTATGGTGATTGGTGTCAAGATATTTATATATATTTTTTTTCATAATAGTATTCAGTTACCCAGAAGTGTTTATTAAAAGGTCTCTTCTTTTCCTTAGTGCACTGCATTATCACCTTTATCATCAATCAGTTAACAGTATATGAAGGGATCCATTCTAGACTCCTATTCTATTCTATTAGTCATTTTGTGTATCTTTGCATCAATACCACACTGTCTTAATTATTATAGCTTTATAATAGGTATTTCTAGCTAGTAAATAAACCTTCAGCTTGTTTGTGTAAAACCTTGAGTCTTCTTCAAAACTGCCTTGGCTATTCTTGGCCATTTTCATTTTCATATGCAGTTTAGAATTAGCTTGTCAATTTTCACAAAAAAAAATCTGCTGGAATTTTGGTTAGAACTCCATTAAATCTGTAGATTAATTTTGAGAGAATTTACACCTTTCCAACATTAAATTTTTTTTTTTAAATTTTAAACTAGACTTGCTAATGACTGGAGAGTGTTGTTAGCTGCATTCTTTTGTTGTTGTTCAAATGTGAACTTTCAAAGTGTTTTGGGGATATAGCTACCAATACCTTGGAAAGTCTGCTCAAGGTATGAAATGCTGGAATGAGAATTATTTATCTATGTGGATTTCTTCAGGCATTTAGGAACATGCTAGTGGAGATCTGCTCAAATACATATTTCTGGAGAAATAACAAGAATTAAGGATTTAGAGGATATACTGTAGATGTGGCATGAGCAGTCATCCACTGTGGATGGCCATGGCAAAGTCATCAAATTCCCTGTTGGTATTCCTTTGGACCCCAAACACATGTCCTTATTCTAAACCATCTCAGTCTCCTTCAGTTTATTTAGGTAGACACCAGTGTTAACTTTTGTCACATGATGGGGATTATTTATTTTTTGTGTCTCCCTTCCTCATCTGCATGTCTCTGACATTACTTCTAATAATACTTGTGGATTAGAGAAGTATTAGTGCTGTATCCCAGAGATATACTTAAGTTAATTTGTTCTGAAATACGATGTCTGAGGTGGTGGGCAGAAAACTCTAGTGGAAAAATAAAAAAGATAAATGAAATTGCTTAAGTGAAGTTAGAAAATATAATCCAATTATATAGTATTTATATATGGACAAGTTCATTTCAGCATTTTCCCCCTTACTTTTGTTAATATTAGAAAGCACTGCTCTAGATTTTTAGTGTATAATTTCTTTTTATTTAGATTATATACCTAACAACAGAAATGTGTAATCTAGTGTTTTATAGTAGCAAATGTACTCATTAACATAATTAGCATAAAATAAATATTGTAAACTCCCTAGAAAACCTCCTCTTGGCTCTTTCCTGTCACTATTAACTTTTACTAAAGAAAACTCTGTCATAAATTCTAATAACATAGAATTAATTTTGCTTATTTTAAAACTCTTTATACATGATGTTAATGGAAAAGAAGCCACATTCTGTAAAATAATTTTAAAAAGATTTATTCTGAGCCAAATTTGAGAACCATGACCCGGAGCCATGCCCAAGAAGCCTTGAGCAAATGGACTTGCTGTGATTGGGTTACAGTTTGGTTTTATACATTTCAGGGAGACAGGGATTACAGGTAAAGTCATAAATCAATATGTGGGAGGCATACATTGGTTTGTCCCGAAAAGATGGGCTCTCTTGAAGCAGTAGCTTAAAGGTTATAGGTGGGTTTAAAGATTCTTTGACTTGTAATTGGTTAAAGACATGAAGCTTTGTCTAAAGGGTTGGAATGTTTTGAGATAAGGAGCTGTTTATCAGAGATAAGCCACCAGACATAAATTGAGGACCTGCAGGTTTGTCTTGCATACCCTTAGGCCTGTAAATGGGTTACAAAGGATGTCTCCAAGAAGGGAGTGGGGCACAATGAGGCATGTCTGACCTCCCTCCTCATGGCAGGCTATTTAGTTTTAGGATATCCCGTTGGCCAAGAGGGGGTCCATTCAGTCAGCCGCTGGTGGGGAGCCTTAAGATTTTATTTTAGTTCACAATGGAATCATGCAATATGTATCCTTTTATGTTTGACTTTTGATCATCATAGTTCATTTTAATTATTGTATAGTATCCTAAATGTAGGATTTATACTACAACTTTTATCCCAGATTGTGAGATTTGGTTCTTGGGGAGACTTTTGGTTTTTCCCTTATCTCTAAACCCCCTTCTGTGGTAGCCAAACTTGTTTACATGGTGGATGTTGAATAGCTGAGAAATTTTTTTTGCTCTTCTTCAAGCAGTTGCAGATCTATGCTTTGATTTGGTACAGGAGTAAGGACTAAAATGTTTCTCTTCCCACCTGCCCACCACCACCTGGGGCTGACACAATTTGCTTCTCCCTTCCTCAGAAGCAGTGATCTTCTCCTGGTTCCTGGGTCATGAAGGAGGGTTTTCTATACCTCCCCAGAGGCAAAGGAGGTTTGTTTTTACTCCTCCTCTGTTCCCAGAAGGGAGGGTGTTTGTTTCTTCTCTCACCACAGCTGAAGGATTTTGCTTCATATTATAGGAACTCAGGAATGCATACAGTTTTCATGCTTGTCTGCCATCAAATGCCAGTTGTCTTCTATATGTCTGGGCTGCCGAGGGGAACTCTCTCTGATCTTCCCCCAGTCTTTCTTCTAAGTACAGTTGAGGCCTATGGAGAAGCTCTTACAAGTGAGTGTAAACTCAACTTGTGACTGAGACCTCCAGTTATTCTAAACTGCTACTTTGGTTCACATTTGGCCTTTTGGAATTAGTTACTCTTTTAGCTGAGTTTTTCTTACTGCCTTTTATGACAGTCACCTCTTTTTACCATGCTCTGTCAAGCATGAAAAGATTAATATGCCTTGTCTCTTCTCAGTGGAGTGCATCACTCTTTGGAATTCCTTGATTGCTTTGCAACCTCAACTCTTTAATGGGTTCAAGAAAAGTTATGATTTTTAGATTATCCTTTCTTTTTCTCATTGTAGGATGTGAGTAATGCTTGTAGCTTCCAACATTATAAGTTGAAGCAAGCATAGATCCTGATTTTTGTATTTTTGCTGAAAATTTAATGTTAGCTTCCTCCAGGGGGAATATACTTTTGCTTTTAGAAGGTACTAGGGAATGGCAGTGATATAGTTTGGATGTTTGTCTCCTAAACCTCATGTCGAAATTTGATCCCCGATGTTTGGAGGGGAGGCTAATGGGAGGTGTATGGGTCATGGGTGCAGATCGTTCTATTAATTTCTGTAAGAGATGATTTTTGAAAAGGGCCTGGCACCTTCCTCCCTTCTCTCTTGCTTCTTCTCTTACCATGTGATCTCTGCATATGCCAGCTCCTCTACCCCTTCTGCCATGAATGGAAGCAGTGTTGATGCCCTCACCAGATGCAGATGCTGGCACCATGCTTTTCCTACAGCCTACAGAATGGTGAGATAGATAAACCCTTTTTCTTTATAAGTTACCCAGCCTCAGGTATTCCTTTATAGCAACATAAATGACTAAGACAAGTAGGTCATCTTCATCCAATTAATGAGTTAATTTTTGTAAGTTGACCTTCCGTATTTGTGAGGGATGGCCTATTTCCATTTCTTCCTCATTCTTAAGGTGTAGACCCAGATGGTCCTCACTGAATGGACATCATTATCCGGTCACATTTTCCTTGACAGCATCTGAACTCCAGTTTTTGCTCCTCTGGCCCTTGGAGATTACCAAAAGCGCTTCTTAGCTTCTCAGTATTTCAGCTACTACTTTTATATAAGTAGATTCTCTTGGGGGAAAAGTGAACAACAACAACAAAAAAAAAAACCCCACAAAACAGTAGTGATAAATTGTTCATGGCATCTACCTTCCAGTAATTCTGATTCTTCAAATGGGGTATCTATTCATAGTAAGAGTAGAAAGACAGGTGATCCTGCATCCATATCAACTTACACAACTAATGCCTTCACCATGAGGGACAATTAGGCTTCCTGAGTCTCTTTCACAACCCTTCCCCCTCTCCCTCAGCCCACCCAACCATGATTCTAAACAGGACCAATATAGATACATGAGAGGAGATGCTTTCAAAGAATGCCTTATATTTTATACTTGATTCTACCCTGTTTGATTGGACAAGTGATAGCCTGTGTTTATTTTACATGTTTATCTAGTTAGGAAGTTTTAAATTAGTATCATTGCTGTGTTATAAGAAAGAAGAGGCAAGGGCTAAGGTATTAAAAACTACAGATAATACAGTAGTTAAAAAGATGTAACTTGGAGGGAACAAAGGATAGTCTGCAAATACCCAATTTCAGAGTATTAAGCCAATATCTTGGTCTGAGATATCAGGTAAAACTGGATGGAAAATATATGTTGAAACAAAGCGGAAAAGACTAGTATCAAGCTTTAGAGAATAGGCAAAAAAAAAAAAGTCATTTTACTTGGTTAAGAATTGTAACCAGGTATGAATGAATAAAATGATTATCGAGTTTAGGCAGACAGAGCAGGAATAAACTTTTCAGAATATGGTACAAATAGATTCACATAAAATTACAACAGAGTACTTTTAGTACTTTCAATTCTAGGACAGGGCCTTGCCCACCCTGTATCTTAATTTTATTTTATTTTATTGTTTTGAGACAGAGTCTCACTTTGTTGCCCAGGCTAGAGTGAGTGCCGTGGCGTCAGCCTAGCTCACAGCAACCTCAAACTCCTGGGCTCAGGCGATCCTCCTGCCTCAGCCTCCCGAATAGCTGGGACTACAGGCATGCGCCACCATGCTCGGCTAATTTTTTCTATATATATTAGCATATAGAATTTTTTCTATATATATTAGTCTATATATATTAGTTTCTATATATATTAGTTTCATATATATTAGTTGGCCAATTAATTTCTTTCTATTTATAGTAGAGACAGGGTCTCGCTCTTGCTCAGGCTGGTTTTGAACTCCTGACCTTGAGCAATCTGCCTGCCTCGGCCTCCCAGAGTGCTAGGATTACAGGCATGAGCCACCACGCCCGGCCTGTATCTTAATTTTAATTCCCATATTTATAGTTGGTTGTTAATGATTGGTAGATATGACCAGCTTCTTTCTCAGAGTGAGAGCAAGGTAACTTTAATTGTTTAAAATTACTTGTATCCCGTAGGTAGTCCTAAAAGTTCTTATACAAAGAATTACAAAGCACTACTTGAAAAAGGAAGAGGAATAACAAAATGGAAACATCACATTGTGTGAATGGATCACATAATATAGGCCAATATATATTTTCCTCATTGTAAGAAGACTCAACTATTTTTCAATGATTGATTGTTAGAGATAGAAAAAAACCATGAGATAACTCAGGTTTTTAAATATATATTAGTATATCTTGCTATATTTAGTTAACTTTAAAAAATCTTGTATTTTAATATATTTTGCTATAAGACAAAAATTGTCATAACACCTATAAATCTTATAAATCTTGCTTATTTCCTGTAATCATTAGACCTCAATTTCTGAATATAGGCAAAGTAATAATGTTGACTTAGCTAACTAATCTTCACGGAATGTGCATGTGTTCCTGATTTCAAGAGTACTGGCTCTCAGTTTCTAGGAATGGTGTACCAGTTAGCTAATGCTACAAAAATACTTTGTTGTAAAGCACTCCAAAACTCAGTGAAATATGACAGTAAGTATTTATTATGCTCATAAGTATAACACAGCAGGTTCCACATCTGGGGATTCAACCAACATGGATTAAAAATGTTTTTTAAAAATTAAAAAATAAAAATATAACAACAACAATAATGCAATTTAATACAGTATAACAACTATTTTCACTGCAAAGGAAAGCCTCTTCCAAGGGCCTGTTAATCTATCTCTAAGGGCCTGTAGTGCAAAATACTGTTTGGGATGAAATTTCCTGAGCTCCTTCAGTAGCAAGGAATCTCTTACTCACCATAGCTAGTAAATAATTTCTTCCAAAAGTGAGTACAACTAAACTGAAATGAAATGTATGCGATTTTGACTCTGTTGAACATATTGGCACTGTACTGAGTGATACGGTGTCTTTAAACTTTTTTAGGCATTTAGATGATTAGCAGTCAGCTAACCGTAAATGATTTAGCTTTAAAGTATGGAGCTGGAAGCAAACAGAAATATAGGATTGCCTTGGTCATTGTGCACATTTTAACTTAAAAGCTTTCTATATCCGGCTTTATGTCCAATTCCTGAGCTTGAAAATAGAACTGATCTTCTTCCTATTTTGTGACTACTCTGATGCCTTATTTTTAACTTGGTAACCTTAGAAATTATTTGCCTATTTTGAAGTAAAAGTTAAGTCTAAGGTTTTTTTAGAATGTACACTGCAAGTCTCAAATGTTTGATGTAGCACTCTCTGGTGCTATCGAACAACATAATTATTATTTGACTTTTTTTCTTATTTGAACATAAGCTTAGATTTTCCAACTTAGTATTCTTTTAACAGATACTATTATTTGTAAATTATTAAAATAGTTTCAGCTGAAATATATGTGCAGTTCTCCCATTTTGTAGTAACATACTGCCACAGGGAGATTTTGGTAAACCTTGTTTGGTTGAAACACATTGTTGTTACTTTAGGTGCTGACTATTCTGATGCCGAGTTTCCAATTGCCTTGATTAAAGTAGAAACAATCTATGGCTTGGATGACTTACATTTCACATTGGTTTGAGCAAGATGATTGGTATGAAGGACTACAAAGAGTAAGATATATTTATGTTGTAATTATAATTTCCTGTAATTTTGTTTCTTGCTTTGTTGCTCATACAGTTGTATTTCTGTGTTATTTATATTGTGGACATTTCTGCATTGCAAAATTCTGAGGATGAATAAGTCATTTAATTGCTAGGTTTTAAAGCAGAGGTAAGAATATAATATATAAGGATAATTATAGTTATATATTGGAGAAAAGATATTATTTTCCTATCTTGATTTTAGATGAATTCTTAATGTTTTCAGGAAGTCTTTTAGGCTTTAAATATAAAATAGCATTTCATATAATGAGATTAATATATGCAAATAGCAATAATTTCAAGCATTTCACATAAAGAAAAGGATTTAATGAAATAGAATATAAATGTATGCTAATATTATTTGTTAAATAATATGATAAAAGAAAATGAAAAATAACCTCAAGAAGAGTACCCTGTTGCATCTGATAAAATTTTAGGTGATTAATTACGTTTCAAGAGGAATTGTATTGTTACTATGGCAACTTTTGCCTAGTATTTTGAAAATAGTATTCAGATCTATTATTGCAATAGATTTAAAATGTACTCTGTCAAAAGGGTTTTAGTTTAGCATAATGTATTATTTCTCTTTTGTTTTATTATTTTCACGTTTTTAATGGAGGATTTCTTAATTATTTAAATGAAGACAATTGTGGATTTGTGGATTTTTATTTTCATTGATTAGTGGAAAAAAAGACCCAGAATATCTTCCTGCAGTTCGATGAAATTTTTCCCGATTGCTGTTCAAGGGAATATGCTGTTAAAGATATGCAGTACTTTATTTTTCTTCCATCTTTTTCAGATTCCTATCCTAATCACACTGTCAGTATTTTATTTTTAATTATAAATACTCAGCAGTGTAAAGCCTCATGGGTTTTTTTCTGATATATTTTTTTATAAGCTGTGAAACAAGCTGGTAAACATCTCTGGAGCCTGTGAATATCTAAGTGGAGAGTAATATATTGTAAATCCTAAATAAAGCATTCTTCAGAAAAAAGATTGATAGTTAAAATGAGTAGCTTTCCTTCCTGAATTCCAGCCTTAGCCATAAAGGATGGAAATATTTCAGTTTATGAGTTTAATAGTGGCACTCCAATCCCCACTCTCTCTCTCACACACACACATACACACACACATACACACACACACACACACACACACACACACACACTACAATGCCAGCATCCTTGTATAATTGTGTGAGTGCATTTTCAATATAATAACAATTACATTTCTGATCTTTTAAAATAGAAGAGTTTTTTTTTTTTTTTTACAGTGTATCCATATGTTTTTTAATAGGAGGGGATAGGGATTACAGTCTAATTTAGGAGGCAAGGTGGATTTTAAGAAACATACCTTTTACTAAAATAGATGTTTCTTTAAAGTTACTTCAGAGCACCTCATAGAGATTATCAGTATTCAAAATCTTGCCCTCCTGGCCTTGTAATACTATCATGGGCATTTGTAAATGAATTCCTAGTTCTGAAACATATTAAAGAGTAGCTGTATTTAAATATAGATATATATTGACCCTAAAATTACAATATCAGCTTTGTGAGTTTGAGCTCCTGGTTTAAGTTTTGACCAGTTCTTATGAGGGACATAGATGAAAACAAAAGATCTTATTCTAAATGAAGAAAATCGGCACATGAATATTGACAGTAATTTCTTTCAAAAATCTAGCTTACTACTTTTCACATTATTTGTAAAGGCATATATAGCCTATATAATCAGCATCCAGCATATCAGAATTTTTTTTTTATTTCAGGAAATTATGGGGGTACAACCATTTTGGTTACATGTTATGACTTTGCTACATCCCAACCATGATTTGAGACATGCCTCCCCCCCCCACAATGCTCACCATGTCCATTAGTTGTGAGTTTATTCACCCCCAAACCCCCACCCCCAAAGAATATTACTGTGTGAGCATATCAGATTTTTAAGAGTTAAATTTTTGAGTTAAAAATTGTAAATTAGAAATGTAGGGTTTGAAAAAACACAAGTGTAAATTTGATATTTAGAGCACTAATGTTGCATTTATATTTGGACATAATTAGTATTTATGACAAATATATGTATTTACATAAATGCACAGATATATAAACTTGATTTTAATTTACTTTTATAATTTTGGTTTTACCAGTATTGTAACTGTGTATTATCAATATTTTAAATCTTATTATGATTATTTCACATCATAATAATCTTGATATTCAAAAGTAAGCTTTATTACTTGTACAAAATTAATATAGATATACTCCTATCACAATTTTTTCAACAATTGGTTCACTTACCGTGCAAAGCATCTTCACCACATATTCCCTATTGAACCCGAGAGTAAATTTAGTATAATTATTTTTGTGTGTGTGTTTTATATGAGATTGAAACTGAGAATAGAATTTAGATTAAAAAAATAACAATAATATCACTGCAAAGGCTACAGTTGGTTACTGAGACTGTCAGTTGCATATGGGGTGACAACAACGTTCAGGCTTTCTTCCTGAATCCATTATAAATCTGCATTATTCAGTGAGCTAAAACCTTCAGTGCTTCATTGGTAAAGTGTGTGTGTTGTTTCTGGGCCTAAAAGATTCTATTTTCTGAGGCAACAAATCTTTGAAAAAGACATGAGAATGTTAAGTGATTCACATAAAAATGAAAAATATTCAAAGTAAGGATAATAAAGGCCTGGTAGTATTTATCTGATGTATGTTACCTACCACAATCAAATATGTTTATTTATCTTTATATGTGACATGTTTTGTAAGATTTATATTTAAAATATTAACATATATTTTGAAATGGACCTTCAGTTGAATATTTTCTATTTTCACTAATACAGAATCATTAATTGAGTAAATAGTCATGCTGACTACACAGATTAAAAAAAGCTTCTGGACATTTTGTTTTATCTCCTTGGCAACTATGGAGGATACATAAATATTATATATATTTTATAATCCTTTTGAAAAATAATCTAGAAGTTTCTAATATTAGTAGTTCTTTGAATATATAATTCAGATTTTTAAATTCAGTAGTATTTATATGTTTAATGATACATGATATATTTTTATATTTTAATCAGAATCATAGATTCTTAAAAATACTATTTATTATATTCATGGCTGGCCTGGACAAGTTATTTGATTCTAAATTTTAAAAGGATATAATTTGTTGTACTCTTCCAACCTGTATAAGCTATTTCAGAACAAAGGCATACCAAATTTTATGTCAACATAGAAATTCTTATATTATCTAATTTTGGAAAATAAAAATAATAAATCAATGTATACTGTTAGCTAACATAAAAGCATTTTGGCATAAATTTAGAAGTAACTTTTTGGTTTTAATAAGTAAGGAGATTGCTTGTTTCCAGTTCTGTATGTAAGGAGCTTAGGAAGTTGCCACTCTATTCTAATAACAAATAAACAGTTGAACAAAATGAAAAATCAACAACTCTTCTTAGATCCATTAGAGAAGTGAAGTCACAGGGCAAACCACTGTCCCCCAAATTACAGAGATAGACGGGCAGTTATGTGAGAATCACACCTTACCAGAGCAGAAATCCATGAGCAGAAACTTCTCTGGGAACCGTTGCCAGAATAGGAAAACCTGAACTGTAATTGATGAATTGACGTAGGGACAGTTTGGACAAGTCTGAGAGATAAAAGCCTCAGTAGGACCCAGTACTGGGGAAGCCCCATGTTTTTTTTTTGTTTTTTTTTTTGAGTTTTATTTCTAGAGGCTCAACCAGGTGCTCACAGTGAATATTGGAGAAAAATCTCTTGCTTTCTAGCAGTAGGAGAGGAAAAGGAACCATTTGAATTACACTAGGATATTCCATTCTTCTTAACAAGACCTGCCCTCAGGAGAAACTGTTTTATCAGAACCTAACATGCTGGGGTTTTATAAGAACCTGACCTTATTATGGGGGAAGAAAAATGTCCAATTTTGGCCTGCTCTAGCCTTCCACACTGGGAAGGGGAATGCAACTTCTTGATCCCCTCCAGCCATCCTGTCCCACCTAAGGGAGGGGGGCTGAGAAGCACTGGTCAGGGGCGCAGGCTCACCAAAAGACTGAACTCTAATCACAGGACTACAGAGTGCTTACCCTGCCCCCGTATCTTACCACTGCATTACTGAAAGCCTGTTTAAAGCACTTTATGTAGTTCTCTTGTCCACCTTTCACAAAAAAATTTGGCCGCATATTAAATGGCCAAAAACACAGTTTGAAGAGACAGAAGGCGCATCAGAGCCAGAGTCAGATATAGCAGGAATGTCAGTATTATCAGGTATGAAAAAAATACAGTTAGTATACAAGAGCTTTAATGAAAAAAGTAGACAACATGTGAGACCAGATGAATAATATAAGCAGAGAGATGGGCATTCTGAGAAAGAATCAAAAGGGAGAACTAGAAACTAAACACAGTGTAACAGCAATGAAGAAAGTCTTTGGTAGGCTCCATAGTAGACTGAACATGGCTGAGGAAAGAATCTCTGAACTTAAGGATTTGACTGTAGAAACTTCTAAAACTGGAAAGAGAAAAAAGACTAAAAAAAAAAAAAAAGGACAGAATATCCACAAACAGTGAGACAACTATAAAAGGTATAATATATCTATAATTGGAATACTAGAATGAGAAGAAAGAAAGGAATAGAACCCAATAGTTGAAGCAATAATGACAAAAAATTTACCCAAATTAATACTAGACACTAAACCACAGATCTAGGAATGCCAGAGAACATCAAGCAGGATAAATGGCAAAAAATTTATCAAATTCAAATTTTAGAAAATAAAAAATGAAGAAAAATATTAAAATAAATTACAGGAGGAAAAAAACCCCTACCTGTAAAGGAACAAGGATAAAAATTACTCTGATTTCTCAGAGACCATGCAAGCAAGGAGAGTAGAGTGAAAATATTTAAAGTATTGAGAGAAAAAAACCCCACCAACCTAGAATGCTACACCCTGCACAATTATTCTTCAAGAGTGGAAGAGAAATAAAGACTTTTTCAGATGAACAAAAATTGAGGAAATTTGTTGACAGTGGACATGTATTGCAAGAAATGTTAAAAAGTTCTGAAGAGGGAAGGAAAATGATATAGATTAGAAGCTCTTATTTACATTAAGAAAGGAAGAGCATAAGAGGGTGAATAGGTGAAGATGAAATAAAAACTTTTCTTTTTCTTGTTCTCAGCAGATAAGTTTGTTAAAAATAATAATAGCAATATTTTCAATTATATATGCTTATGTAAAATATATGATCACATATACTTATACATAAGTAAAATGAATGACAGCAGTGATATAAGGGATGAGAGGGAGAAATTAGGAAATTTGTTTTGGTTATAAGGTACTTGTACTATCCCTGAAGCAGTACGGTATACTGTTATTTGAATGTGGACTAGGGTTTAGTTGTAAATATATATTGCAAACTCTGACAAAAGTAAACAAAGAAGTATGATTGATATGCTAAGAAATAAGAGAATATGGAATCATACAAATGACACAGTTACAAACACAAAAGACAGAAAACATATGGAAGATAAAAATAGGAAAAAAAGAATAACGGCAACAATAGAAAGCAGTAACAAATATAGTAGGTATTAATCCAACTATAATATAATAATCACTTTAAATGTCAATGGTCTAAACACACCAATGAAAAGATAGAGATTCTCTGAATGGATCAAAATACCCGAGTATGTAGAACACCTAGAATGAACTTTAATGTAAACTACGGACTTTGGAAGATAACAATGTGTCGATACAGGTTCATCAGTTTTAACAAATGTGCCATGTGGTGCTGGATATTGATAGAGGGGAAGCTTGTGCTGTGGGGTGGGGGAAGACTATAAGGGATATATGGGAACTGTCTGTACTTTCTGCTCAATTTTGCTGTGAACCTAAAATTTCTCTAAAATCAATTCATTAATTATTAAAAATTTGACAAAAGTTGGCAGAAAGTGAAAATTTTTAAATGACTCCATTTAACTGTGTTTAAAGATTTGGCTTTCTAATTGTTTCTTTTCCAAATATAAACTCAATGTTTGGTTAAACAGAAACCAATTTTTATTTAGACACAAATGTTATAAATAGTAATCATAGATCCCCAGCATAATCTACAAACCTATGTCACTTACATGAGGCTGAAATAATTTTTATTTTTAGTGAATAAGAATATTGTAACATAACATTACTAATTGTAAAAAAAAAAAAAAGTGTATATCTTTTTCATTTATCCTGAATGCTAATGTTTGAGGAAATATCAATTTCATTAGAGGAAGAAGAAAGGATATTTCTGTGGAAGGTTCTAAATATTTAAAAGCACTGAAAGATATATAGCACTATTTCTTTATCATACCAATTTGCCTTCAAATAATTTATTTACTTTTTTGTAAATCTGTCACTAGTACTGCTCAGTTTCCCTAGGACGTTCCATAAGTCTTGCTATGTGGGGTGGCCTTCTCCGGTGGTACTTAAACCCTTTAGATAAGATATGCACTTTTTTTAAATTTCAGAATGTTACGGGAATAAAAACATTTTGGCTACATAATTTGCTTTTATATAGTTTGAGTCAGAGTTGTAAGTGTGCCTATCACCCAGATAGTGTGCATTGTACCCATTAGGTGTGGAATTTTCCAATCCCCTCTTTCCCCCTCCCATCTGCTTGATTTCTGTCCATTAAAAAAAACATGGTGAACTAATACTTTTTGTGATGATCTGGATGGAACTGGAGACCAACCATTCTTCTAAGTGAAGTATTGCAAGAATGGGAAAACAAACACCACATGTACCCAATACTAAATTGGAACTAATCAGTCAACACTTATGTGCACATACGGATGCACTTTCTATTTCACCATAGTCCCAGTCATTCCTTACAGGCCAAGTGGCAGTTGTCATTCATTGTTTTATGATCTCTTGCTTTCCGAATTTAAATTACTTGCCTTGATGTCTACAGACATTTGGGGATTTCAACTCCTGTACTCTGAAAATATAAGTTGAAATTAATAGTACTAGTAAAATTTTTGCAAGGCATAAAGGTAAGGGTTGTAGAAGACAGATGTAAAACAATGATGGGAAAGTTTATCAAATAATGGAAATGACTGACATTTCTTCGTATTTGTTTTTCAAGGCAAACATGTCCCAAGTAAGGCAAGTGGGATTGCTGGCTGCTGGGTGTCAGCCGTGGAACAAAGACGTGTGTGCTGCCAGTGGAGACAGGTTTGCATACTGTGCAACCCTGGCTATCTATATTTACCAGGTAAAATTGTAGTATTTCTTTTCAATTTAGTAATTCTTTTTAATTTTATCAGGCAAAATTAGTGTTTAATACTTATTTTTAATACTGTTACATGAAAAGCATAATGCTATAATTTCATTGATATATAATTGCTATAATTATATTTTATATAATTTACATATGATAATTTAGTATAATGATTATTATAAATAATTATATTTTCTCTTCTTTGCTATTTATACTAATTGGGCTTATAAGTTAAATCTTTAGAAAATGCTTATATCATCATATTAAATTATTACTAAATTTAATGTGAGAAAATTCCCTTGTCAGTTAAGAATGTGGGTAGTCCATCAGAGATCATTATATTAAAACTAGTGCAGATGTATCTTCAGATATTCCTGGGAGAAAAACTACGTAACTATTTTTTTTATGTCTTAGCTCCATTCCCACATCTATTATCAGTTCCCAATATATAGAGCTAATGGCGTCCTGAATTTCTCCGTATAGAGGTGCCATAAGCATCTTAAATCCAAGTTCAGTCTTTCTCCTTAAACCCAGAGTCAATATCTCAGTGCCACCAGCTAACTATTCATCTATACCAGAAATATGGCAGTTATTTTTGACTCCCTCTTTTACTTATATCCCATATCCTTGGTAATGAAGTCTGATTCTAGTATTTTGTATCTTTTAGTACCTTCTATATATCCTTCTCATCTGAACTATTATAACAATCTCTTAAAAATCTCTCTATTTCTGGTTTGCTTCTAATTTATGCTACAGTGTAATCAGTCATCTATAATGCAAATCTAAATTTTAAAATCATTCTTTGCTTCTTATTTCCTAATATTAACATCCAAACTTCATAGTATGACATTCAAGGTCTTTTGTGATCTTCCTACGCTCTCTCACTCTGTGTCCCAGATATACCAAACCGTTTCATTTTCTAAAATATCTCAGACTCTTTCATATCTTATATTAATTTTTCAGTTTGCCTACATTATGTGTTTAGAGAACACTTTACTTTCTCTTCTTTCAAATCTCAGCTGAAGTGTACAAACTCGTTTCCATATTCTGCTTTTCCCCCTTTCTTAATGGTGAATGGCCTGTAAAATGGGCTGCCTCTCTACATGCTTCCATTTTCTAGAAGTGAGTCTTCCTCATATTTGAATTCTCAAATTTTTGCACACTTTCTGGCACTTAGCAGACATTCATTAAATGTGTGGAATGAATGGGTTTTTTAAAAAATCTTAAAACTCCAACTCATTTCAATTAAGGGTAAAAAAATTATTGTTTTATTATAGAATAAAAATCCTTTTCATTACTATATGTTAGTTCATTATTAATAGTGTTACGGGGCCGGGCGCTGTGGCTCATGCCTGTAATCCTAGCTCTTGGGAGGCCGAGGCGGGCAGATTGCTCAAGGTCAGGAGTTCAAAACCAGCCTGAGCAAGAGCGAGACCCCGTCTCTACTATAAATAGAAAGAAATTAATTGGCCAACTGATATATATATAAAAAATTAGCCGGGCATGGTGGCGCATGCCTGTAGTCCCAGCTACTCGGGAGGCTGAGGCAGAAGGATCACTCAAGCCCAGGAGTTTGAGGTTGCTGTGAGCTAGGCTGACGCCACGGCACTCACTCTAGCCTGGACAACAAAGTGAGACTCTGTCTCAAAAAAAAAAAAAAAAAAAATAGTGTTACGGTATATTGGAAATTTAAGAAATAATAGCATTAATCCATAAAAATATTCATTTTCCACAATATAGAGTAAAATTTTATGTAGTCCTGTTCCTCAAGACTGTGAAAATATCTACCAGTCAAAATGTAATTTCATTATAACTCACATTTCTTCATTTTTCCCTATACATGAGATAGTATCAAGCCTTCTAAGTGCCTCCTTTTTTCTCCCATTTACCTCCTTTACACTCTGCATACAATTTCTGACTTCCAAATTCTTCCTGCAAACTTTTCTCCTAGTCTTAACTCCCTATCTTCTTGTCATATATTTCCTTCTAAAGAAGAGGAACTTAGGCAAGGCAACCTATTCTTCTTAAAGGTAAAGATGGTAAAGAAACTCAGTGGATAAAAGCAGAACTTAATTTTTTTCAAGTTTGTATGTCTTCAATTTTGTGATGACGTTTTATGACAAATATTTAGGAAGATTAAGCTAAAATTATTGATATAAAAAACCTACAAGAAAGTTTGCACGTCATTAAGGACTAAAACAAACAAAAAATTACCCTGATTTAGAAATTCATGCAAATAAACTCAGGTGACAGTTCATTACAGTGTCCCCTATAAAACCTGTTCCAAAGTATGCCAGTAGAAAATTACATTATTAAATGATGACATGTTAATTAAACATATACTAATAAATGTTTTAAATGTGATTATCTAAATTAAAGTGCTTTGAAAATTATGCTACATAAATATAAAATGTTATAATTGTTTTTAGAGGGAATATTTATTAAATAACACCTAGTGCCAGTGTTGAGTCAAAGCCTGTTAATCTGTCACACTCTGGATAATGACACTGATGTATGACACAGTTTTTTCTGAACTATTAAATAATATTCCTAAATGGCATTAGAATTTTTCTTTAACTGTTGAGTTGTAATGCACTAATACATTGTATTAAAGTACTCTAAAAGTAGAGTAATTTAAGGTCCATCTCAATGTAATAGTATAGTGCAATAATACTGAATTGTAAATATAATAGTAATGCATTAATAAATTAATCCCTAAAAATGGTTCAGTATTCGAAAGTGTGCTTATACTGTATGCATAATTTATATAATTATGTCAGTGAAGGTCACTGATGTGCAGCATAGCTTCTTCATACATTTATTACATTATAGATTCTTCTACTGAATTTCTAACTTACCTAGCTGATTTTTCAATTAGCTGCATTAGAAACACTCACAATATCTACAATAAGTAACTTAAATTGCTGAATAATTTTTAAACTTAAAATCCTATTTATTCCTAAATATACAGTAAATAAAATTGTATACTTAAATAAAACAATTTAAAATTATTATTTCTGCAGTACTAATTAGATGAAAACTCCATTGGTACTGGTTATCTTTAATAATGTTTTCATCCAAAGTTGGCCAAGAATAGTTGAACATAGAGAAATTATAGAAGAGAAAGCCTTAGGAAATAATTAGGTCATTGATCAAACTTTTACATACAAAAATGTTCACTGCAGCATTATTTGTGATGGCAAAAATTGAAAGTTACTTAAATGTTAAATAGTAGCATAAGGGTTTGTTATTTCAATAATATTAACTAAATCTCAATTAACCAAGCATTACTTGGTATTAAGAATGCATCTATGAACAAACCAAACAAATTCTTCTTGTGGGACTTATATTCTTAGTAAGGGCAGGGAGCAGGGAGAGGTCACTAAATAAGTAAACAAATAAGTAAATGTTTCAGGAAGAAGTCTGTTCTAGAAAGGCTGTGAAAACACGTAATAAGATAGTCATACGGGATGGTTCTGGAGAGAGTTATGAATTTAGATAGCATGATCAGAAAACATCTCTCTGAAGAGGTGCTTTTAAAGTCAGACCTCAACAAGAGAATGAAAAACCATGAGCCTATCAGTGGGGAGAGCATTTGAGGCCAAGGGAGCAGCAAGCATAAGGGCATAAAATGGAAATGATTTTGCAGTATTACAGAAGCAAGAAGTTCAGACTGATTTCAGATTAGTTTGGCAAGATATAAAAGATTTGATCTTGTAGGGCATTGAATCCATGTTATCAGAGAGGATTTTGCTGAAGTATATGATTAAAGAAAGGTTGCTATAATAAAAAGTTAATATAATGATGATTTTTAAAACTTATAATAACACTGAAAGGCTCATTATGTGTTAAAGGACAAAAAACAAAAAAACAACTCCAACAGAAGTACATAGAAAATATAATCCAAAACATGCTAAAAATGATGGAGAGATTAATTCACTAACTAATGGAGGCACATTTACTAATGAAATAGGAAAAATGAAGGCTGCTCGTTTTGTCCACTTTATATAAAAACACAACATAATGCCCCATCTGAAAAACAAGAATATGAAAAGGGTCAATGATACCTTTGGAAGCTTTGGGTATCTTAATTATATAATAAGGAGCAGTTGGTTTTCTTAACCTAAATTTTATTTTATTCAAGTATAAGTGAAAAACTGCAGGGAAAAAATTCCAAAACCAAGGACTTTTCCATCTCATAAATAGATACAGCTATGGAAAATATAATAAAACTCTGAATTATTATGCATATTAAAGGTAAAACATTCATTTTTACTTATATTTAAAATTGATATGTTTTATCTCAGTTCTTTCATTTTTTTTAATATGGTTTCATTCAGCTAATTAAATACATTTGACTATAAACCAAGACTTGAAATGTGTTCATATCTTTATTATTAGGTGAACTAATTTTCATATATGTAGCTTTTGTTTTGTATACTGAGATTATTAATGGATAGTGTATTATCTAAAAAGTAGCACTAAAATGTTTTATTTATATATTTTGTTTTAGTTGGATCACCGTTATAATGAATTCAAACTTCATGCAATTATGTCTGAACATAAAAAAACAATCACAGCAATCTCTTGGTGTCCACATAACCCTGATCTGTTTGCAAGTGGCAGCACCGATAACTTAGTGATCATTTGGAATGTTGCAGAACAAAAAGTCATTGCTAAACTCGACAGTCAAAAAGGTATATTTATAACTTGGACTTGTTTTATTAATTAAAATATTTTTATTTCAACAAACACTATTAATATTATTAGTTAAGGTTTTAAAGTAGAGTTTTCAGACTTCCTTAATGGTAACCTGTATAAGAAATACATTTTACATAGTGACTCATGTATGTGCCTGTGTACAAAATTGAAACAAAATTTCATGAAGTAATTATACTTAGAACATATGATCAACTAAAAACATAGTCCATAATAAATAATTTCACTAATGTTTAAATATAATATAAAAATTTCCAAAATAAATACAAAAATAATAATCTGAAAAAATTTTCTTAATGAGATAAGAGTAACAGGCTTTGTCTGTTTATCATTCTAATCTTTAACATACAAGGACAATATTATGCATAAATTTGATGCATTTTTGAGCTACTTTAGTGACTTAATTTTTAATTTGGTCAAGGTAGAAACTCCTAATTCACACAAATAGGACTTTATGAATTTGAATAATCCATTATACTCTTTCTACTTAGTATTGGGAACTCATATTTAATTTTGCCCCATCATGATAATACAGTTATAATTTTTGTGTTAAATGTCACAATAACTTATTCTATTTTTGAGCATGACATGTAGCTCAATTCTTTTTTTTTATTTGCTTTTTGTAAATTTCAGCATATCATGGGGGTACAAATGTTAAGGTTATGTATATTGCCCATGCCCCTCCTCCCCCCTCGAGTCAGAGCTTCACGCATGACCATCCCCCAAACATTGCACATCTCACTCATTATGTCTGTATATACTCATCCCCTCCTCCCCCCTCCCACCTGCCTGACACCTGATAAATGTTATTCCTATATGTCCACTTAGGTGTTGATCCATTAATACCAATTTGCTGGTGAGTACATGTGGTGCTTGTTTTTGCATTCTTGAGATACTTCACTTAGTAGAATGGGTTCCAGCTCTATCCAGGAAAATACAAGAGGTGCTATATCACCATGTTTCTTAAAGCTGAATAGTACTCCATGGTATACATATACCACATTTTATTAATCCACTCATGTATTGATGGGACCGTGAGTTGTTTCCACAACTTTGCAATTGTGAATTGTGCTGCTATAAACATTCAAGTGCAGGTCTTTTTCATAAAGTTATCATTTTGAAAGCTGCTGTTGGATATGTTTTCCAGCTTCTTCTCTAAAAGATAATTATTATAATTTTGAGATGGAACACAGATATGAAAATTTCACTAACTTTATTTTGTCAAATTTCTTTATTCTTCTAAATATGTAGCAACAATACTAGGAATTCATAAGCAATTATCTTTAAATTTTGTTTCTATAATAATAATAATGCCTTTTGGAACCTTTAGATGTAATGAATATATTTAGTATATTTGTTTTTCTTTGTCTTTTCAAATTTAGGTCATTAAGAATGCTAGAAATACCTCTAAAATACATCATGTTCTTACTCAACTATCACCTTTAAAATATTTGTCAAATGAGGTTAATTGTCAACTAAGAAATTGTGAATCTCATCCCCAAGTTCATATGCTCTATTTTTAATTTTCACTTACAACAACCAATGTATTAGACAGTGAGTAAAGTTTGCTGTAATTTATGAGTAAAATATTTTTAAAAGTCAACTATTCAGGGAGCTTCCATTAATGTAATTAACAGTTTTCCTTAAGGTTCTCTGTATATCAGTGAGAAAAAGCCAAATTACATTTGGTACAAAGCTTTGTGATATATAAACAGTGATTGGTAGCCTCAGTCAAGATTTTTCATATCTCTCGATGTTTTCTTATCACACCTATTTCTCCACCAGCCACAACTTCTGTATGTTATTCCACTATTGCTTATATTGATCAATAATGCATTTTCCCAATATTTTAAATCCAACTTTGTGCGAGATTAATGTTAAATAACACAACAAATCCTCTTTCCACATTTTTATGTGCCTTAACCTAAAAAGGTTGCATAATATCATTGTTCTCATAAAGTTGTAATGCAAAGTCAATACCAGGCTGTAACTGCATAATAAACATATTTTCTAGATGTTATGCAAAAGTATAGATTTGTATTACTGAGTTAGCACTTAGTTTATCCATGGATTTATCATCAAACACTATATACATCACATCCATTCATGGTGGAAGACTTTTTTGTGCACCAGCTGTGTGCACCATAGTTTCTTTTGCCACTGTATATATAATTAAATAACTTTGTTATTTAAAATCATATAGTAGTTAAATAAGTGTGATAATAATTTTGGTAAATTTTACATCTTTTTCCTTTTTTGAAAATTGTAAAACACTTTTCAATAAATTCCTCATGGTATTTCCATATATCGTCTTAATTTGGAAAGCTTTGATATTTTACTGCAAAGAAACTTTGAATATTGTACTAATTTTCATTTTAAATAATCCCTTTTGAAATGTTTTAGACCACATTTTCTTTTTAGGATCCAGCTGAAGCAAAGTAGAAATTTTTATTAATTGATCTTTTTTTAAACTTTCATGTACGATAGTCAAACTTGATCTTGCCTCTGTATTTTGCACTTTATTATTCTTTTTTCTGATAAACAACTCATCTAAGGAAAATGAGTATTAGTTTGTTCAAGTGGAAATGTTAAAGTTGTCAGCAACTTAAAAATGGCACACTTTGTAAAGCACTGGATAAATACTTACCTACCTCAGAATATTGTTGGGAGAATTAAATGTATTCATATTTGCAGAGCTCTTGAAAGTGCTCGTACATAAAAAGCCATTGTAGGAGTGTTCCCTGTTATTTTTACATGGCATTGTGTCTGCTCCCTTCACTTTCCTTGCTGCCTTTCTCTAAAGATGCACTGAGAGAGGTAGCATTCTGTTGTTCTTCAATTGTGCTATGGTGATTTGATCCATACAGAGTTCTTCCTCCCTTTTTGGGGAAATTCTATTTCTGTTAACATATCCTAAAACCATGTCAGTTTTTTTATTAGGCTTGTTCATGTATATATCCATTCAGCTAATATTTATGGAATTCCCATTATTTGTCAGGATCTAAACTAGGCATTAGGCTTTCAGTTTCAGCCTCTTGGAGAAACTGTCAACATAAACTGAACTTACTGTCAACCATTGAGTTTCAACTCTGAGTCTTTGTGCATATTCATTTCCTCTTCCCGGGAAATACTGCTGATTTCATATATTTAAACTCTACCCCTCCTTCCAGGTATAATTCAAATCCAGTTTCTTTCTAAGGTAATATCCTAGTGATTCCTAAACCTTTCTGCATATCAAAATTATTCCCAAAAAGTTTGTTAAAAATAACTTCTTAGGCCCTGACTCTACATGATCTGAGATGTTATATTCAATTTGCTGATTGTGATGCAGTCAACTAATGTACCTGTGTTGGCAGAATTATAATCTCTCTCTTGAATCACAAATTTCCCATAACACTTATTTTATATATGATTTTTTTGATCACAACAATAGTGGGAACATTAACAATTAACTTTTTTATTCCACCTGATAGTTTAAAAGGTACTTTTACATACAATATTTCCTTAACTTTCATGTGAAATAAGTGGTCAACTATTTTTATTTTTATCTCCATTTTATAGATGAGGAAACAGAGGTTTAGAGAAATAAAGTGACATTGTTAGTTCATTTGAGGCAGAACTACAATTTGAATATAAAATCCTGATAAGACATGGATTGTAACAGTAAGTCCACCGTTAGGAAATCCTTATAGTAACGTGTATCTTTTCATGCGTATAATCCCTATCTCCTCAATTTACATTTAGAATCCTTTAAAGCAGAAAATCCTTTGAAACAGTATTCCATATTACATTGTGTACCTAGAATGCCTAGAGAAGGTCTTTTATATGAATACATGAATATTTATTGCTTTACTATATAGTGTACTAAAATAAGAATCTCCATAAATTTCTTTGAATATATGAAACATATGATCACGTCAGTAGTATTCAAACCTAACCTAGGTATTTTTTCCTTTCATCATGGAAGCACCCTACTGTGTTCTCTGTAGTCTTTTGGATTTCTTTATAATTCCGATTCCCAACTAATAAAATAATGTGTTTTTAAAATAATGAACATGTTCTTGTGTTTTAATTTGTTTTAGAAATGTACAATGCAAACAATATTTAATGGCACAAATTTATGCCATGTCTCTCTGTTATATATTTGTGTTTAATGTATTCCAGGGATACCTGCTTCCCTCAGCTGGTGCTGGAATGCAGGTGATGCGGTGGCATTTGTTTCACACAGAGGACCACTGTTCATTTGGACCATCTCAGGACCAGATAGTGGAGTGACTGTGCATAAAGAAGCTCATAGCTTCTTGTCTGATGTCTGTATATTCAGATGGCATACTCAAAAAAAGGGGAAAGTTGTGTTTGGTCATATTGATGGAAGTCTATCAATTTTTCAGCCAGGTAAGAATTTAATTAGTCAGGTTTCTTAAATTATATTTTTCCTATCATATATAATTTTTATTTATTCAGCATAAAGACAGAAGTAACACAACTTTAATTTCAATATAAATAGTTGTTAAAATGTCATCCAGCATTGTGCTGATTCCAAATATTCATTTGAAGTAAATTTTATTTATAGACATTGTAATATATTCATCACAGCTGTGCAGATTTTATTTGGAATTAATTCAAATCAGTTATTGGTCCAATATTTGTATTTTTAAAGTCAAGTCTTTATTTCTGCCCATTTAGCAAGAACATAACCTGAATGAACAAGGACATACATACAGCTAAAAGATATAATGACTCATTAATGCTACACCAAAATATTAATATTTTCTCACTTGCTTGTGAAAATGCCATTCTGATGCCATAGGTCCTTAGCAAAGGCTTTGAACCTGGCATAAAAAGGAATGATAACCCTTTGAATCCTTATCAGTTAATTAATCTGACTGACTGAGTCTGAAAAATTAGTTTATCTTCATTCTTAAAGTTTAAACAATAACAAAAAGTACAATTAAAAAAATAAAAAATTACTTGAATTGCTGTCCTCTCGTAAGTAAGTATTGTTAATATTTGTGAAACATACTTTTAGCCATCTGGCATCTCTGTTGACATAGTCGCTTAGTGGCTAGATGGAGGGATGAAAGTGCTTTTTCAGGAACAGGGTAACTACTTTCGCAAAACATATTATATTCAGTTTATCTGATATTTATAGAAGAAAAAAGAATTTGAACAGAAGAAATTGTGAAAATTCAAACAGATCTTCTGGAAATAATCTTTCTAAAATTTAAGAAAGAATTATGTAAAACATTGATCATTGGGGCCACCGTATCTTAAATATATTTTAAATAGGAGCTATTATTTACATTAAAATATTTTTATATTTTATATTTCTTATCACACCTATTTCTCCACTAGCCACAACTTCTATACGTTATTCCACTATTGTTTATATTGATCAATGATCAATAATGCATTTTCCCAATATTTTAAATCCAACTTTGTGTGAGATTAATGTTAAATAACACAACAAATCCTCTTTCCGCATTTTTATGTGCCTTAACCTAAAAAGGTTGCACATATCATTGTTCTCATAAAGTTGCATTACAACTTTATGAGAGAGATAAAAATAAAATTACATATATTCCTTTACCACCTTCCCTCTTGACTCTTTGTACACATCCTCGGTTTTTCCTTCTGGTTTTACTGATTTGACGTGGGAACGGTTTCATCTCTTTGTTGGAGATTCGTATGAGGAGGAAGGATGAGTGTTGCTCTGTTTGAATTTGTCGCCGCCGCCCGCACTGTGATTTCCTCTGTTACGTCCTCTGCATTGGGAGCAGAGTCTGTTTTATAGTTGATCATTAAGGCTCATCGTTAAGTGACATGATTCATAGCTTTCTTTTTTTGATGTGGCGAATACCACTTGCCTCTCTGCACTCTTCATTTCTGGCCGTCTTCTTAGTTTTAGACCTGTCATTTATGGACAATAAAGATGGCGGTATGCTGTGCGGTTCCTCCTCTCTTGGTTTTGTTCCCAGATCTCATGAGAGATATTCCTTCCCTTCTCCTCTGGCTGATCTGCACCCAGAGATGTCATCAGGACTGTGACACTTTGTTTTCAAGGAATCTGTCAGCTGCCTGAGATCTGAAGATGATTATACGTGTGTTTTTACTTCGATCTAAATCGCATTTTAGATATTTTTTGTATTTTTTTTTATTTATCACTGTAGCCATTTCCTTTTGCACTGTCTAGAACTGTCTTCTTTCTTGCTTTATTGTTATTAGGCATCTCTGAAAGTTTTAAGCCATAGGATAGGATATTGAGACATAGCATTTTGTATAAAAAATATGAAACGTTGAGAAAGTATAGGGAAGAATAGACATAGAAAGTATAGGGAAGATAAAAGGCCTACCTTACTTTTCTCTGTCTTAGGTTTTCATTGGGATAGGAAGTATAATATTTGAATAATCTGAGCTATGTGTCTTCTAGAAGAGGCCATTTTTTCCCTAATAACTCAATTTTCCAGTTGTTAAACAGTAATTTGTGCAGCTATAGTCAACAGGTGCTACTTTTCTGGATCCATGTGTTAGTTTACGAGGGCTGTTGTAAAAATGTATCACAAACTGGATGGCTTTGCAAAATAGAAATTTATTGTCTCACAATTCTTGAGGTCAGAAGTATAAATAAGGTGTCCGCAGGGCCGTATTCTTCCTGAAGGCATCACATCTTCTTCATGTGATCATCTGCCAAGACCCTAATTCAAAGTAAGGTCACATTGACAGGTACTGGGGGCTAGGACTTTAACACTTTTTTGGTGGGAGGAGGGACACAGTTCAACTTGTAGCAACCCTTAGCCTTATTTATTCTGTAGGACTTATTTAGCAATTAATATACACAAACTATTATGAAAGGTACAGCCTTCTAGGTGTTTTCCCTTTGTATATACATGAGCTAATGGATCACGAAGGAAACACTACTATTTAATTCTGACACTGCATTCTGGATTGTGAGTTTGAAACTCTGAGACTGTTAACATTAATACTGACATTGTTAGGATTCTTTGCATGAGAAGTTGTTAACTTTACCTTCTTAATGACGTATTGGTACCACAGATGGTTTATTTCTATGTTATGACATAGGATTTCTGTCCTCCAGGTTTTTGCAGGAACCTATGACCTCAAGCTCTCTGTTGTCTAGTCTTTCTCTCATGGAAGAAAAAATAAATATTCGTGGAGAACTGCCCACAGTAATGCCACTCATCCATCAATTTTAAATCAGCGATTTTTAAACTGTGCTTTGTATGCTCCTATATTTATGTGTGTGTGCTTTGAGGATAGGAAGGGCTCCATAGGTGATCTAGCTGGGCTGTAAGCCTTCTTTTCCCTTTCAGCCTGAATTGCACAATTTTATTCACAATTGAAATTTCTGTTTTCTGTATTACATGTTGGATTTTCATATAAATATTCTCATATGGAGAGAGGATTCCAAGGCAAAAAAGTTAAAAAACTGCTTTAGCTATTTCAAATTGTATTCTCAGACCAAGTTCATCAGAGAACTTTTAAAAAAAATCTTCATTATAGAAATGTTTTGGCCGGGCGCGGTGGCTCACGCCTGTAATCCTAGCTCTTGGGAGGCCGAGGCGGGCGGATTGCTCAAGGTCAGGAGTTCAAAACCAGCCTGAGCAAGAGCGAGACCCCGTCTCTACTATAAACAGAAAGAAATTAATTGGCCAACTGATATATATATAAAAAAAAAAAATTAGCCGGGCATAGTGGCGCATGCCTGTAGTCCCAGCTACTCGGGAGGCTGAGCCCAGGAGTTTGAGGTTGCTGTGAGCTAGGCTGACGCCACGGCACTCACTCTAGCCTGACAACAAAGTGAGACTCTGTCTCAAAAAAAAAAAAAAAAAAAAAAAAGAAATGTTTAAATTGAATTGATTTTGATATTATCCCATGATTGTGCATTAATAAAATTTGCATTGTTTTATTTTAGGAATGCTGCTGATGACATTGTCCCTGTGTTACTTAGTGGAAAAAACAAACTCACTTTTTTCCCGCTATACTCTTCATAACACACTTCTGACACCAGATGTGTGGGCGTTTTTCCCCCACACAAGCAAGCAATCACTTGTGCAACAGACGCCAGCTGGGTATCTTCCAATTCAATTCTGATACTGTCTACCTGTGTAGTGTCTGGTCACACAGACTGAGGGCTCAGTCCAACAGGACCGCCTCCTTCTTCTAATGCTGATTGCAGGCCCTTAATGCTGATTTTGCCTATGCTTCTGAACAACTGGCTATAAATTGGGGTCTGTTCACACAGCCTCCTCCTTAGGTTCGATTAGTTTGCTAGATGTCTCACAGAACTCAGGAAAACACTTACTTACATTTACTGGTTTGTTATACAGGGTATTATGAAGGATATAGATGAAAAGATGCATAGAGCAAGGCTTGCAGGAAAAGGTGTGGAGGCTTCCATGCCTTCCCCAGGCACGCCACTCTCCAGGAGTCTCCAAGTGTTCAGCAATTTAGAAGTTCCCCAAAGAGGGTACCTTTTGGATTTTTATTGAAGCTTCCTTATGTAAGCATGATTGGTTAAATCATTGCCCATTGGCAATCAGCTTAACCTTCAGCTACTTTCCCTCCCTGGAGGTTGAAGGGTGGGGCTAAAGATCCCAACACTCTCATTCTGCCTTGGTCTTTCCAGTGACCAGTCCCCATCCTGAAACTACCCAGGGGCTGCTGCCACCGTCAGCTCATTAGCCTACAACAAGATACTTTACACTTTGGAGATTCCAAGGATTTTAGGAATGTAATACCAGGAAATAGAGATGAACTCCAAATATATATTTCACAATATCACCCGTTTTAAAAGCACACAGGGAACATTTATTTCTGGTCTCAGTTTGTTGCCGCCCAACCAGATTCATTTGCGTTTACAGCAGAGAAAGAGTTTATTTCGCATAGCGCCAAACAGGGAGATGGGAGAAGCCCGCCTCCTTCTCAAACCAGCCACCCCGAGAATTTGTGAGACAAGGTTTTTGAAGACAGTTTGGCATAGGCGATTGAGTCTGCTAATTGGCAGTGTTCGGGCAAAACCACAGGGTTGTAGAAATTGTCTTCTTTGCTGACCAGGTTCTTGGGTGGGGAGTCACAAGACCAGTTGAGTCAGTGGTCTGGGTGGGTCAGCCATGCCACTGGAATGCGGGACCTGGAAGATACCTCGAAACTACCCCTGGATTTCAAAAAAGTAACGTTATCTATGGAAAAAGCTAAGAATCTTTATGACCACCAGCTATGTGGCTCCAGGGTGGCAATTATAGAGAAGCAAAAAGGAGGACAGTAGCTAATTATTATCATTATTTTTAGCTAGGCCCCTACTATATTCTTGCCTTGCACCCCATTATTAATTTGTGCAAAGGGTGGTTTCAAATCCTAGAAAAAGTTGGCCTTCTCCTGAGCAAATTGTTGGGTTTTTTTTTTTTTCATTTTGCTTTGTTTTTATCCTATGGACATTGTGAATTGTGTATCATTTTATGATTTCATAACCTCAAAATCAAAATTTTAATAGCTATACAATGACATTGTTAACTTAAATAATAAATAACTGAAAACAAGAGAGTCACATTCAGTTGAGGCTATTTAAGCCAAGATTTTAAGGAGCACCCAGGAAAAACGTGGCCCACAAAGTATCTGTTGTGGACTGGGATCTCCAAAGAAGGGTTGAGAACTTCTCATTTAAAGGAAACAAGAAGTGCACAGGAAAAAGGGAGGGGTGAAGGAGGTGAGCAGTGTGGCAATTGATGTTATTCTTGTGAAGTTCTATTTGGTGCTCAGTAAATCTACATAAGATTAAAAGAACTTTCAGAAAGAAGATAAGCTTATAATCAACATTTAAGAGTTTATTTAGGCTCCAGTCCTAAGGTTATAATTGGCATGCACTCATTTTATAGGGGCTATATATTTTGAAGGGTTTTTTTTTTTTAGGGCTAAAGGAAATAAAAAATATTTTAACCCAAAATACATTTATTTGTCATATTTTGAGATGGCTGTGGGCTAACAAGAGTACTGCTGCTACAAGGCTGTCCAGGTGAGGAGGCTGGGAGACAAATTGTATTTGTAGAGAATCTCTATTAAAAGCAGCCATGCCTTGCCTATTCGATCTGGGACAGGTTTGCTGAGTGTCTGACACCCTTTTAGGGTCTGAATAAAACATTTTCTTGAGGGCTGTTATTGAGAGTTACCTGCATAACAAGACCATCTTGCCAGCCAGCTTCCTTTCTCCCCCCCCATACCCAGTCCACGAAAAACAAAAAACAAACAAACCTCTGTTTAGTCATTTTCTAAGTCCCTTCATTTCTTAAAAGAGGACCCATGTACGTCACTGGGGAGAGGATGACCGCGCTTCTATGACTCAGCTCTCAGGCTGGGTTCTCCCTTTTGGCATAATGAATTTTGGGAGGTCTTGAGATTTTTATTTGGCCCTGCCTCAGGTTTTTGTACATAAGCTTTTGTCAATATATTGACAACACAAGTTGCCTGATATTTGTTTAATAAAATAGAACATAATCATATATTTTGTATAATATAAATATTATCAGCTATTACAGATGATATTACAGCTATCAGCTGTAAAATTTTATAGGTTCATTTTTCTATCTCTTATAATAAAAATATGAGAAAACCAAATAGAAAAGTAAATGATGAATATAATTTATGATTTTGGCTGTAAGTATGGGGCTTTGAAGCGACATGATTTAGATGTTCTAGCATTACCATTGCAAATTTTCCTATGTTTCATGTTGCAGTTTGAGTTTTTTTACATGTTGGAATATTTTTAATAACCTATGATTAATTTCTGGCACATGGAAATACCTGAAGATTACTTAAGAAATAGCAAGTAAAGCTTTGGTTAATAAGTCATTTTTATAACTCTCTCAACCTTGTAATGATTAGCTATATCAATATGTATCATTATTTATTATACCAAGTAGATTTGGCAGATGCTTATATTGGGAAAAAAGTAAACAAACTTTTCCTGATGGTTATGTAGAAAATTTAATAAAGGTAAATAAATCTCATATCCATTTTCTATGATTATATATGCAAAAACTTTAAATAAAATGCCTATTTTAAATCAACATTTTAAAGATTAGCATATCCTGATGAGCTTAATCCAAAACCAGAAATGACAATATTTTCAATTCACTTTACAAATATATATCCAAGGAAAACTATTTTCTTCTCCTTTTTAATCTGATATGCCAAAAAGTTATGTAATTATGGGATTTCAGCAAAAGCTGTAGTATTTTTCAATTGTGTTATTAAAAACAAACATTTCTTTAAAGTTTATAATACTTAGGACTAATTGGTACTTCCTGTTAAGGTTGTAGTCCCTAAATTTTGTTGTTTTACTGCCTGTTTTTTGAGAACGGAAGGACGGGCTCGTTGGAGTTTCCTTGTGGTACATCAGTAGTATTAATTTTTTCTATATTTCCAGTTGTGTATATATAATTTACAAAGAACAAGAGGATTATTTAATGTTCCTTTGCTTTATTTAATTAAACATGCTTTATCTCCCTATTTTTCTGGCCTCCCTATTTTTACTGGTAGTCAGGTGTGAATTATGATTATGATTTACGGTAAACTGAATGAGGAAGGAATAACAGTAAATATTGATATGCTGTTTATAATATATCACACTGTTCTAAGCATTTTTGTCAGGTCATAATCTGTTCTCAGTTCTTTGTGTGCTCTTGGCCAAAGAATGACCAGACACATCAAAAGCAAGGCAAATGTGAAATTAAGTTTGTTGAGGAAGGACAAAATAGATTTTGTAGAGCAAGAAAAAGATACAGGTTCACAAAGTGAAAGCAAGATACATTCTCCATAGAGAAGGGACCCCTCTGTCATAACAAAAGGGCTTTGGTTATGGTCTGGAGTCTTGTTTTATAGTGTCTAGGCTGGGCCTCCTCATGGTTCAAACGTCGCCATTGAACCATTTTGATGGACAGTTGGGAGTTACATAACCTGAGTCTTACTACACTTGTGGATTTCCCATAAGCCTCTCTGAAAGCCCATTTGTGGGGGTGAATGTAGATTTAAACTAATGACATGATAATTAGCCTTACATTGTTCTAGACCACTTTCCAGACCTATTCTACCTGTGCTGCTTGACCTGCTGGCTAGGGAATCCTCTGCACACTAAGTTCAGATTGGTAGAATGATAGAGTGTTCCCTTCCCCCCCATGTGTAGCAATTGCTTGGGGTGCCCACCTTTGTCCCTAGGAGGGTCTACCTAACACTTTAATCAACTAACTCATTTAATGTTTTTGAAAACCCTTTGAAGTAAGTATTGTTATGTTCTCCATTATAAAAATAAAATAAAAAAAAAAACAGAAACAAAACTGAGGCATGCAGTGATTAATTATTTTGTCCAAAATCACAAAGCTAGTAAGTGGTGGAACTAGAGTTGGACCCAGGCAGTCAGCCAGGTCCAGTGTCTATGCTTTTTAATCACTACATGATATTCTACATTCCCATAAGAAATCCCTATTCACATAACTTCTGTGATTCAGTGAAATTTGTAATTGTTGACAAGATAGAATGTATTATTTATGTGTCTTTTTCTTACAGTTTTTCAGTAAAAAATAGGAAAAACATTCAAGCCACTAGAGATTGCCGAGGCAGAGGATTGAGTGTGACTTTCATCATTAGGACAAGTAATTCACCTACATTCACATGTCAGTTATGCCTTCTGCATAAAAATCCCAGATTTGTATTCTCAGTACTCTCATAGATAGGTAGTATGTGAGGAGAAAATTAACATCATCTAAATTATGAATCTTTTGCGAATTTTTTGGAAATATTTTATTTGTATTTTAATAGGTAATAAAAATCAGAAACATGTTTTGAGACCCGAATCTCTTGAAGGGACAGATGAAGAGGATCCAGTTACAGCCCTAGAATGGGACCCACTATCTACTGATTATCTTCTTGTGGCTAATTTGCATTATGGAATTCGCCTAGTGGATTCTGAATCACTTTACTGCATAACAACATTTAATCTTCCCAGTGCAGCAGCTTCTGTACAGTGCTTAGCCTGGGTTCCCAGTGCTCCTGGAATGTTTATAACTGGAGGTGAGCTCACCCCCTCTCCCCAGAGTTTTAAATATGTGTGTATTCTTTCGTTGAATGATGGAAATTATAATCTTTTATTGGTTAATTTTGTGTAAAACTTATTATAGTAAATGTAGTTTACTATAATGTATAGTGTAGTTTTATTTATACTGTATGTCATTGACATAAATACAAATAGAAATGAAATTAAGGCCCATTGTTCCAGGTTTCTGCAAATGCTTAGGAATATTTATGTGTATACATGTGAGTATATCTGTGTTTGTTTGTGCTCTAAAGACAAAGACTGTAATTGAACTCTAAAGTTCAATTTCAGAGAAGGCTGGATGACAATGAAGGTACTGACCAGAAAAACAATTAACCTGGATGGGACCTTTGTTATTCTCACTGTCTTAGTCTGTTTTGTGTTGCTATAACAGAAGACCACAGGCTGGGTAATTTGTAAACAATAGAAGTTTATTTGGCTCACAGTTCTTGAGGCTGGGATGTCTAAGAGCATGGCATCAGCTTTTGATGAGGGCTTTTGTGCTGCTGAAGGCAAGAGAGGGTAAGAGGGAAAAAGCAGGAGGGGATCTAACTGGCTTTTATATTAATAACAAAGCCACTCATGATAAGTAACTCACTCCTGAGAGATAAAGGACTTTAATCCCTTCACAAGAGTAGAGTCTTCGTGGCCTAATCACCTTTTATTAGACCCCACCTCCTAATACTGTTGCATTAGGCATTAAGTTTCCAATACCTGAACGTTGGGGGACACATCCAAGCCATAGCACTGACTGATAATTTTGGCAACCCATGACAGATCTGCCTAGTTAGATCCAAATTGCTTGAAAATGAAAATGGAATTTGATACCATGCTCCTTCCTGGTTTCCTAATCATGAGAGAATTAGCAAAGGTTAGCTAAGTAGTGATAGGGGATGGGAATATGGGAGAATTTAGGAATAGTAATTAGAAATTAAATGATTCTCTAGATTTACCATTTGCTTAGGTTCAAAGAGAAAGTCCTGTGAAGAAACAGTACTTTCAGCTACTGTATATATATTTTTAATATTTCCTTAGTGTAAAATAATAGACAAATATTATTTATCCTATCAACATTTTTTTAAAAAATTCTTTACTTCTTTAGTACTTAACATTATACAGTTGGCCTTTTGTATCTGTGCTTCTGAATCTGTGAATTCAACCAACTGTAGATCATAAACATTCAGAAAAAATATTCCACAAAGTTTCAGAAAGCAAAACTTGACTTTGCAGTGGACCAAGTTGAAGTCACATGAATGAAGTCATGTGTAGGCATTGTATTAGGCATTTAAGTAATATAGAAATGACTTAATGTGTAGATGAGGGTGTATGTAGGTTATATGAAAATATTACACCATTTTATATAAATGACCTGAGTATCCATGGATTTTGGTATCCATGGACTAAAATCTATGGTCCTGGAACAAATCCCCCATGGATAAAGAAGGACAACTGTATGTGAAAGTAAGTGGATTATTAACTTGTATATCTTAATTGCCTTTAATTTTATAGGATATAATTAATAACAGGCATGGAAAATTTTAAATATCTATTATTATTATTGAGATATACATCACATATCATAAAATTCACCATTTTTAAAGTATAAAGTTCAGTGTTTTCTGGTATATTCACATAGTTGTACAATCATCATCATTATCTAATTCCAAAACATTTCATCATTCCCCCAACAAACCCTGTACCCATACCCATTGGCAGTCACCTTCCATTACTCCCTCCCACAATCTCTGGCACACACATGTGCATACATAAACTGCTAATCTATTTCTATCTCTGTGGATTTCCCTATTCTGGATATTTTATATAAATGGAATAATTCAGTCTTTTGTGTCTGGCTTCTTTCATTTAACATAAAGTTTTCAGGATTCATCCATGCTGTAGAATATATCATATTTCATTTCTTTTTATAGCTAAATAATATTCCGTTATATGGCTATGCCAGATTTTGTATATCCATTCATGCATTGACAGACATTTACATTGTTACCACTTTTTTGCTGTTATGAATAATGCTGCTATGTACAAGTTTTTGTGTGGACTTACGCTTATAATTCTGCAGAGTATCTACCTAGGAGTAGACACTTGCCTCATATGGTAATGCTATGTTTAATCATTTGAGGAACTGCCAGACTATTCTCCAAAGCAATTATTAAGGTGGGATTTTTGGAAGAAAGAGGACTTTCTAACTGGTCTTCAAGTATATTTGACAATACTTATTTAGCTGAAAGTGGACAATGGAGCAGTTTACAAACATTTCAAAAGAGGAAGGATTATTCAACATTAGAAGTAGAGTTTTCTGTGGCTGGCCATTTCCTAGAACAGGTGTGTGTCAATAGGGTACTTTTTGTGTGGTCAGATTCTTACAATGGTCTTTATTGGGGAAAGCTGCCAAGATAGGCAGTTTCTAACTCTATAAAAAGGTTTGGAATAGAAAATAATAAAACATGCCAAAAATTTAAAGGTTAAATAGCTTTTCAACTGTTTCTTTGATTATATTACTGTATGATGTTATTGATTGAAAGATGTCAATAATTAGTACTAAAAATCCTACATGTTGAAGTTTTTGTCATTACTTTTGTGTCTAGGCATTTTAGTTTCAAACACATTTTTTTGTGTATCCTTTGTTTCCTGATCTGCCTAGATTCTCAAGTGGGTGTTTTGCGCATTTGGAATGTTTCAAAAACAACACCTATTGACAATCTTAAATTAAAGAAAACAGGATTTCACTGCTTACATGTACTTAATTCTCCTCCAAAGAAAAAATGTAAGTAAAAAATATCATCAAAGTTTTAATTTGTTGTCAAATTGTCTATCAAATAAAATGACTGATACAGTGATATAAACGTATCAAACACTACATGCTATTGCAAAACAACTTTTGAAAAATAGGCTTTCACAATATATGTGCTGGAGGAACCATCAAAGCCATGCAATAACTAATATTACTAAATTGAAAACATTTAGACCCAAATTACTTTTGTAAAATGCTATTAAATGAGAATATTCAGATAATCTCAAATTATCTATATGGGGAAGATAGAATAATGATATTGGTGAAAGTAAGTTAGAAATATCAAGAATGATGGGATTAAATAAGATTTATCTGAACTAGAATTTGTTTTAAATGTGGCTCATTTACAATCTGCACAGTTTATACAAAGTTAAAATAATCTGAATATTCAAATTATAGGATCTAGAACATATAATATGTTCCATGTTTGAACATGAGTTGTCACTGAATTAGTAGTTAAGTGTTACGGATCATCTGTATCTTTTTTGTTTATTTTTGTGTATTTTTTCTGACTATAATTCATTGCTTCTGTAATTAGGAAAAATAATAAAGCACACTTAAGCCATAAAAGAAAAATTCTCGAAGTTTGGGGGAGGTTTGGAATTAGAATGTTTCTGAAATAGAAGGGAAAAGAAATTGACTTCCTGTTCAGTCTACCATGATTACTCTGCATGGCTGGTAGTGTTCCCACTTTGTGTATCATAAAAAATGTGGGATAAGGAGTTTAGTGATTCAAAAATCTAGAGTCATTGATGCCTCCTTACTCGCTGCTCTCTATCTTTATAATATATTAAGTAATTAGCAATGGCTATTCAAAGTAATGGTATTTTTGTGTCTAATTTAATGAGCAATGGCTAGTGGGAAATCTATATTTGAACCTCCAGCCTTTCCATAAATTTAAGCTTTTCTGTAAATTCCTAATGCTTCTAAAGCCTGGAAACTGGAGTGTCTAGAAATATTAGGACTGGAGAAATAATATGCTGGAGGCTGGCATATTGTTTAAGTATCATGCATTTTTTTGGTCATTGTTAACTTCTTTATTTGTTCAGTGCCTATAAATTTCCCTATCATGGAATGACTGAGATATCACAGATACTTTTCCTTCTTTTTTTTCTTGTTACGTGAGTAGTCCATATCCATTAGATAAAACTCAGAAAATATAAAGAAGCACAGACCAATCTTGTCATTTTTGAGTAATTCCTTTCAGGTTATCTATTGTTAGACTTCTAGGTTCTCCCCCCCCCCCAATTTTTTTAGTGTAACAGAAAGTATAGAATAAGAAAAATTGTGAAAATGAAAATTTTAAAAGGTAGGCATACTCACCAAATTCTAAAAAACATGAATTACAAATAAATTGGTGTAGAAAGATTATCAAAACCACTCATGATTTCAGCTAATTAAAATATTAGAAAAACCAGTCATGGATAATATTAATTTTTAATTGATTGAAATGAAACTATCAGCAAAATTTCATTGAACCAAGTTGATTGCTACCAAGTTCCTCTTTTGTTATTAGTAGTTCATTCTAGTTTGGACTTCTATCATTCTCAGATTCTGAGAAGTGAGTATTATCCATAATGAATGCAATAAGAAAGACTTTATATTTTAATCAAAAAATCAGGGAAATATTTTTGTATATTTCAGAATGTAATTAATAGTAGATTGGTCTAATAATTTACAGTGGTATTATTATTTTGGATTATGTTTGCAAGAAAATATTCACATTCTAAGGAAAAAATTTCTTGAAAGAAGACAACATGTAGGATAAAGAATATACAAAAATTAATTAAACAAAGGGATATTTACGTAATTGAAAGGAGGAGAAATGGAAGTCTATGAACAGTAAAAAAGAAAGAAAGAAAACCTGAGGAAGAGGAAAGGAAAATTAAGATGCAATTGTATGTCCAACAGTGTTGTGATTCCTAATTGGAGCGCTAAATTAAAATGAATTATAAATAATCTGAAAAATAATTATTTTCATTGGCTTGGAAGTTAGTGGCAGAGAGTTATTTCTTTTAAAAGAAAAAAATTTATATGCATATGTTTGTGTGTTTGGAAGGAGGAAATAAGCTATTATATCAGTATTTTGAAGGAAACTTGTAATTCAAAAATAATCATGCTGTGTTTTAATTTATGGAGAGATAATAAACCAAATATTCACAACAGATTGTAATTCCTCACGCACTAATTTTCCATTTTCTCCATCTGTACTTCTATACACCTCTTCAAAATAATATCTACCTTTGTGCGTATATTTCCACATCTTTTGGCAATGCTGAAAAAGTGCTCATGTCGCAGAAAATGTGATCATTGCCTTTCAGTTTACTGATGCAGGCTGGGTGTGGTGGCTCATGCCTGTAATCCTAGCACTATGGGAGGCCGAAGTTGGAGGATCGCTTGAGTCAGGAGTTTGAGACCAGCCTGAGCAAGGGCGAGACCCCTGTCTCTACTAAAAATTAGCCGGGCGCCCTGGCACATGCCTGTAGTCCCAGCTACTGTGAGACTGAGACAGGAAGATCACTTGAGCCCAGGAGCTTGAGTTTGCTGTGAGCTAGGCTGGTGCCATGGCACTCTAGTCCAGGCAACAGAGTGAGACTCTGTCTCAAAAAAATAAAAATAAAAAGTTTACTGATGCAGATTCTGGATTTTTTAGGAAGTGATGAATCTTTATAAATTAAACACTGTTGTTTTCTTCCAGTGGGAAGTTATTGGTATAAATGTTTGTGTTTTTTTCTTCTTTTTTAGTTTCAATCCAATCTCCAACCAAAAATCACTATACATCCTCAACGAGTGAAGCAGTTCCACCCCCAACTTTGACACAAAATCAAGCGTTTTCTCTTCCCCCTGGTCATGTAGTGTGTTGTTTCTTGGATGGTGGAGTTGGACTTTATGATATGGGAGCTAAGAAGTGGGATTTTCTTAGGGACTTGGTATGTCTGTGATCATTCCTTCTATTACAACACTTAGTTTGTGTAAGCCCATAATGTTTACTTTTACCTGTATATTAATATTATTAAAATTATTTTTGTAAGTAATGATATATTAGGAGTTTATTTTAGTTGAATGAAACTTTTTAGAAAAATGTATAGCATGATGGCAAAACTATTACAATATATTTTAAACATACTTTAATATATTAATGTCTACTTAGCTTATATTTTATGTATAATAGAAAACTGCATAGCTAAACAATATTTTGAAAACAAAATGAGAATAGAATATTCTTTCAGGAGAAAAGACAAGTCAGTCTCTGAAAATGATTACAAGTTTTATTCTCATTTGTGAATTGAGTAAGGTTGGATTGTGTGCTTTCTAAGATTTATTTCTATTATTGAATCATAATAATTCTATATCATTCTGTGAGTTATGTTCTTAAGATAGTTAAGCCTCTTGTGTAAGGTAGAATATAGCCTCTCTGAGGTTCCACATTTTTGTCTGGTTTTGTTCTGTGTTATATCCCCATTGCCTAATATAGTGCCTGGCACATGGCAAGACTTTATTAAGTTCTGTTGAATGAATAAATGAAGACATGCAATAATACATATTGTGTTGTAATTAATATATGTCAAGAATTATCCTCCTTAATTCTCCCCAGGTTAGAGTTTATAAAAATGCCTCTGGTTTTTTCCATAGGTTTGAATTAGACTAATCTAATGTAAACATTAAGACATTTTTAAATGTTGTTTTCCTGTGATCTTACTTAGAAAAGGATTCTAGAGCTGTAATTGTCCTTGTAAGAGAAGAGGGAGAACGAATGATATGGTATCATTTCAAGACTGCTCATTGAATTTTGTCCTCAAATAAAAAAATTAATAGCAAAAATAGTTTTAAAATAATGTATAGCTTAGTTATTTTGAAATATTCCTTTTGTAGATATTTATTAGAAGATGATTTAATTTTCTTTACACTTAAACTTTTTTCATGGAAACTCTTTTCCAGTGTGGCAAACTTTTTATGTATTTCAAATTAGCCATTTATTTTCAAACAAATTTATGAAAAGGTAAGGAGAAAAATACACAAGAATACTTTTAAATCTATAAAAATTTATATAAGTAATAGAGAAATCATATAGTCTGAATTCAATAGATTTTTATTAAGCTACATATTAAAATGTTTTATTTAAAATCTATGTTAAATTTATAATTCTAATAAATACTAAAAAAATACTCATTTATAAATTATTTCTGTGATTTTTCTTTAAAAAATGTCTGTCAGTCAGAAGAAGACGGTCATTTTTTTCCTTATACTTTCTGTTACCTTAACATAGCCCCAAATTTGAAATTACTAAAAGTATTACTAGAAGAAACAACTGAATTGCTATGTATAAAGCATCTCCGAAGATTTCAAATTCCATAGGATAAGAAATATATTAATTACATTCTAAAAGGCATACTTCCTTATGAATGTTTGGTTGATTAAAATTGAGAAAAATACTAGAGAGTTTTTCTTCTTTATCCTACCTTCCTCTTGGTAAGGAGAAAACACAGAAGAAAAATTTACAATTTTGTTCTCTCTGTGTGAATTTTCAAATTTCCAAAAATAAAATTTGAAGGCATAGCAGTGAAATAACATTTAAAAATGCATGTACAGTCCCTGCCCTTGTTAAGTATGTTCTTAGCTCTGGAAATGACCACCTGGAACAACTCCAGCCAGATGAACTGGTGGCTGTAATAACCTCTCTTCTTTCCCTCTTGCTAACCCTTGAGATTTTTCTTTCCTCTACCTTCAACCTAAAGGAGAGACTTTACAGCACATATGCAGTTTCCTAAGGCTTTTGATTTCAGGTATTCATGGAAGTACATAGAGTTTAAAGAACATCCTTCTCTACTTTTACTAGATTAGTTGAGAAATAGAAAGCCCCATCCCTATACTTTAACTCCCTCCCTAGAACCCTACATGTTATAGTTTCTGTTACTTGAAGTAGGAATTTTAATCCCTGCTCCCCAATATTGAGAAGAATGCAGATTATAATTTGAGCTATTTAAGTTGGACTCTTAACAGATTTTGCCATAGACCACAGTGATTAAGCACCACTTTACATGTATCTGTATATGTACATGTATGTGTACATGCCACTTCACAGCCTCATGGGTGTTTGGGATCCAAATCATTATGTAATAGGAACAAGTATTCCAAGATCCAACGAATAGACTTGCTAGAAAATTTTGGAACAAGGTTCATTAAAAATTGGAGCCATGCCTAATTCTTTTATTTCTGCCAAAATTATAAGGTGCTTTTAGAATATGTCATTAGTATTTTTTTAAAAAGGGATATTTGCATTAAAGGATTCTAGTCATCTTGGTCTTCTCTTATACTGCCAGAATGGCATATAGTAACTTAAGAGTTTACTACTTTATGGATTTATAGCATAGTTTTCTGTATATTTAAAAAAATCATAAACATATTTTACATTGAATTGAAATTGGAAAATGAAACTTTTGAACGTCTTTGAATTTCTTTGCTGATTTAACAAATTGTGGTTGAGTAAAATCCAGGTATTTGCAAAATAATATAGTAATAGCATGGAGAACATTCAGCACAGTGGTGATTCTATTTTTCTGTTTCTTGCTTGCCTGTATATTTTTGCATTATTATTAATATTTGTAAAATCATAGTGCATGTGGTCATCTGAGTATACATTACGGTTTGTGAATTTTTCTTAGTTGTTGGACCTTTTTATGCTACATTTGTAGGGACATGTGGAGACTATCTTTGACTGCAAATTCAAACCTGATGATCCCAACCTTTTAGCAACAGCTTCATTTGATGGCACTATAAAAGTCTGGGATATAAACACACTAACAGCAGTGTACACTTCTCCGGGTAATGAAGGGGTTATTTATTCCCTTTCATGGGCTCCAGGTAAGAGCTACTTTATTGAAATCGGGAATACAATTAAATGACTTTCCTAAATTTTATTTTCATTTGAATTATCTTCTTCCTTTCGATGCTATCCTGTTCCTAATGATTGTAGAGGCAAATTAGTATCAACATATTGGTTGATTTAGTTTTTGTGCGGTTTTAGGATAGACTCCCTGCAAAGGCACTTTGATTCCTGAGCCCTTCTGTATGACATAGTCATGTAGAAAAGCCACAGTAAATCACGATGCTCTCGACCCACTGAATTTTAGTTGTATTTGTGTAGCTATTCCTTTAAAGGTATAACACATTTTAGATGACAGAAGTGCTACTAAAATTTTTCATGTAAATCAAATTTATGAAAATAAAAAGAAATTTATTTTCTAAAAATTGCAATAGATAACTTTCCTTGATGCATCTGTTTTATAAGTGTGAATGATTATGTATCAAATGACTTCATTTGTAACCTTGTTATTCTATTAATATATAAATTCCACCTTTGTAATATTGAAGAACTTTTATGCCATAATAGAATCTTTTCTTTGATCTCAGAAAGATGCTACCTTATGCCTCCCTATACAAAAAGAGAGAAGAGGTGTACTATGAAACCTCTTACATTTTCTCCCCAAACATTATTTCCCTATAACAAATAATTTTATATACCTAAGTGGACTTTTTACTTTATAAAGTATATATAATGGTTTACTTATTTGTCCTAATAGTAATGTATTAATTTAATAACCATCTATGACAAGGATATAGCTTATTCTTACATTTAAAATTATTTCTTTATACACAGTAATTCTTAACCTTGAATTTATGGGCCTTCTAGGGTTTTAGATGCCTTCAGAAAGTTTGGGAATCTCTTGGAATTTCATTAATAATTTTTAGTGTATGTGTACATATGCCTATATCTGTCAAAGAGTATTACAGTAATCAGATTTTCAGAGAGATCCATGTCATAGAAAAAGTTAAGGACCACTGCTTTAATGTATCCCTCATCTCCTACAGTGAAAAGTCTGGAAAAAAATTTTACTTACACCTCTCGATGATAGTGTTTCTTCCTTTAAGCAGAGAATACCTGAGCCTGTGTTCTTTATCATTACAATACGCATCTTCACAGGGATTACCTTGGCTAGCGATACAGGAATTGGAACGGCCAGTACATTAACATTGCACTGTAGCTCCTACTAGTTGAACACTTTGGCTCCTACAAAAAGAATGTATCGCAAACCTAAAACTTAAATAAAAATTTTGACTATAAAAACCATTTTTCCAAGTCATAACGTGGAAGACCTAATCTCACTTAAAGCATTCTTTTACTTTCTACATTGAAAATTTGTATCAAGAAAGTAAAAATTTTATAAAATGGAAATTTAATCATTTCTGCTAGTGATAACTGATGAATCGTGATTTTTAGGTAAGTGGGGATGAAATTTAAAAGATTAATGAAGATTGACAAGGATGGAAATAGAGTAGGATACAGGTAATTGCATAATTTCCTCTGTATTTTAGAGTAGATATCACAGGAGAAGGAAAAAAGTGCAAATAAATATGGGAACATATACCCAATAATTTAAGAACCACAAAAGGAAAGCAGAATGAAAATACTAGAAATATGGTGAGGACTCTTTTTTTTTTTTTTTTTTTTTTAGTGTTTATAGTCATTTATCACGTATCTAGCAAGAGCTATGGACAAAACAAGATTGGCCGTATCTTGCTAATTGTTGAAGCTGTATGATGGATATATTCATTTTATTATTCTCTATATTTACATACATTTGATCATTTCCATTGCAAAAAATTTTTATAAAGAGCTCCTTTTCAAGTATCAATTCTTTCATTTTTAAAAATTAGATTTTTGTTAAGAATTACATTTGTGGCAGATATTTAGTATAATTTCTAATAAATTGTTTCCTAAGGTGATTTAAATTGTATTGCTGGAGCAACTTCCCGAAATGGTGCTTTTATTTGGGATGTTCAAAAGGGCAAAATAGTTCAACGTTTTAATGAGGTAAGTTGTATTTATTGCTACTGAATAACATAATGTCTTATACTGTTTTGTATTTTGTAAGTGTTTAATAATAAGGTGGTATATATGTTCTCTCAAGTATGAGAAAATCCAAGAGGATAGTCACATGCTAAAATGAATTCTGGAAGGTATAGTTGAGTATAAGATATAAAATTTCACCTTAAGTTGCATTAGAGAGTCAGAGGAATTTTGAGTCATCTTCCACAAAATCTAGGCAGATGCTAAATAATGGAAAGAAGGCTAAACTTAGAGCAAGTCCCAAATTATAGTCCTGGTTCTGTTATTAATTAGCTTTTGATATAGGGAGAATCATTCTATTGCCTTTAACCTATTTCTTCACCTATAAAATGGTGACATTGAATTATATAATTACTTAGATTTTTTTCCCAGTTCTCAAATTCCATTATTCCACGACAAGCCCTAAAGCCTGCTCTCTTCCTATTTGTAGTATCACAGATTATATTTATCCATCAGTTTAGAGTTAAATTATCATCCCATGTTTTACTGAATTCCATTAATATTTGAGAAATGCAGATGATCTAATTACAATATTTTAGGTATGAATTGGCAGCAATATGATCTAGGATTTTCTCTCACTGGCTTGAAATTTTATTTATTAATATTTTAAATGATCGCTGCTAAAGCTTATTAAATATATAATTTCTTTGAAAATTACTAATATATTTGAGGCTTTAAACCATTTATACAGAAAAGACTGTTATCCCTTTGTGGATGTTCTTCGGTAGCCTTGATTTCCCAGAGGGTACTGCAGTAGTGTAGCAAATGAAGAGTTGTAGGGAAACTTTAGCAACCACCAGTGAGCAGCTTTGCATTCAACAGAGGAAAGTCTGACCAAGGATTATAAAGGTTACATCTTTCCCTTCCTCCACGTACAACACAACAATACTCTTTCAATTCAGCAGTGCCCCCAACCTGCCCCCTTCCCTCCCATCACCAGAACAGCAACTTATCTCATAATAAATAATGGGATATAAGAAGAAATGAGCCTGAAAGTGAAACTTTTGGCCTAGATTTTAAAAATGTGTCCTTATCAGATCTGTTGATTTCTTCTTATGATGTCTTGGCATCTTGTAACCTAAAACATCTGTCCATTAGCACTTAAACAGTTCCAGCCTGATTCTAGCAACCCAGCATCTTAGTATCAAGGACATCTCTTACAGTCATTTATGTCTTTCCCAGCATTCAGTAGCACAGTTAAGATCACTATAAAAATTTCTTAAATCCTATGTAAAAAATCTGGAAAAATTTAGCAATGCCAGCTTTAATTAAGCAGTGTGTGCCCTCCAAAAGGAAATGCAGGGTAGCAGAGAGCCATGAATGCACTTTTCCTGGAATGGTGAAGCTGATGGAAGGCCTCCACCCCTTAAACAGAATGAATATGGGAACTAGTCCCATGTGTGTATCTACCTGTATAAACCTACCCTTCTTGACCCCGGAAGAGGGGGTAAAAACAGCAAACTAGACCTAATTGCCTTAAGAAGTTGAAACTGTATGTTTATAAAGCAACCTTAAAATGCAAGATAAAAAGTCACTATAGTTTCCCCTTAATGATTAGGCAGCCACAATTTAAGTATTAAATAAAATAGACATATTTTTAAATATAAAATTTAGAAATGAGTTGATTACAACTTTCATTCACCTATCACACAGTTGATGAATGACATTGCCATGTATAATATATTCCTTGTGTTTTAAAAATTCTCATCATATGAGCTGTAACTATACACTTGACCCTTCCTTAGTCCTAGAAGATGGAGAAACAAGTAAAAATAGTGATTTCTTATAGGAATAAGCTTAGATCTGTTTTGATCTTTTTCATAAAAATAAAACTTTGAAACTTAGAGAAACAACCAATAATAACAATTGCTTGCAACATTTCTTATATTGTGGTGGTGGTAACACTGGTTTGAGAGCAGATAGATAACTATATTCATCTCCAGACTGGTGTTCATGGGAAAAGGCATTAAGTAGTGCTTAATTCTACAGATGGCTGAAGAAGCAGATTTTGACTCTACTTTGTGTCCAACAAAAAGAAATAGAGCCACCCAATTTATGTCTTAAAACAATGGATTCATTTCTTAAGCACAACAGCTTTAGGCATTCTTAAAATATGTATTCAGGTTTCTGCTATTGACAATGATATTTCTGTTAGTATTATCTACAGAAAGTTCCTCATAGGAAAATGAAACTTAGAAGAGGTAAATAAATAAGAGAAAAAAGGGGTGAATTATTTCTTATTGATAGGTATTTTACATTTTTTGAAGCATGGAAAGAATGGAATATTCTGCATTTCCTGGAGTCACAAAGATTCCAAAAGAATAGCAACCTGCAGTGGTGATGGTTTCTGGTAAGTACTATGTCTAATATGAAATTATACTATTATAAAAAAACATATTTTATTATTCCAATTGTGTATCAATGACACTTTGTTTGTACAGCTCTGCCAACTATCATAAATATTATTTATAAGACCATATAGTCATATGTTACATTGTCATGATATAACATTAATAAATAACAATGCAATGGTGTTTAAAAAATAAAAAAATTAGCCTGTCATTGCTTTCTAAATGAAAACATTACCTGAATTATAACTAAAAGACTGAATTGCCTCAAGTAAACTTTAAGGACTTTTCAAAAAGTCTTAAAAATCCTCATCACACTTTGTGTGGAGTAGTATTTCAAGAGATATCAAGTGCTCTAGAAACTTGTTCACGGTTTTGTAGACACTGTTATTTATAAAGGCATAAGAAACCTTTGTGAGGAGGAATGAGGTATGGGAAATGCCTATCTTTAGGAACTAATTTCACTGATCCTGTGTTTCAGAAATATATGCTTTCTTAATTCTTTTAAGTCCAAGAATAAGTAGGATTTCAAGAAAAAATATGTAAGGAAAGAATTGCCTTGGTTTAAAAAACTTTTTAAAACCAGTTGTTGCTACCCTTGTAGTTATTAAGTATAGTCATTTTCTACAGGTAGTATAGACACCCATGGTTCTTGAGATCATAGACGTTTGTCTCTTGTTAAGTTTTACTAAACCAACTCCAATTTTCTCATCCTCACTTTTTAATTTTAGTAGAACAGCTATGGAAACCCAAAATCCTCACCAGGAAGTTAAAATTTTCAGAAATAACATGAGTGATTTTTTTCCTCGAAAGGCACTATTTGCTAATTGATAAATACCAAAATGCATAAGACATGCCTGAGTTTTTTTGATTAACTGTTACATATAATAATTAGCTTTACCCTGTATTTTCAGGGCATTATTTATTTGATAAGTACCACATTTAGTGTCCAAACATTTGTAAGCATACGTCACCACCATTTCCCTGTAACCTTAAAAATGGACCTAATAAAATTTAAGAGAGTCTTTTCCCAAGACTTTTAAAGCTTCATAATAGATTAATTTATACATAGCTTTTTATTTCTAATGGAAGCAACAGCCTTGCACTGTGGTAATAATAAAGTAGAGGAGTAGAGCTTCTTTTATTTTGCAGTTAAATTAATATTAGGATCTTTCTTTTGGGCAGCAGGGGGTAGGGGCTGTTTTCTGAATTTTGAGTTATATTACTGAGACCATATAATGAAAACTTTATAACTTATGTGTCTTGGTCTTGGTGTGATAGCACATACAACCAGCTTTATAAATTAGTTTTAAATACTATAAATTTTGAGCTACCTAATTTTGAAGCTGAAAATCTAACGCATATGTTAGTTATATCATTGTGTTTTAAGATATATTAGACTATACTTTTCCTGAACTACAAAACAATTTTAGAAATTAAGTCAAAATTGACTACCTTTAATTTGACTTAAATGGATTACTGTAATTAATATTATGTGATACAAATATACTCATAATTGGTAATGTCATGTATACAATGCTTTTAAATGTTCCTTGCTCTTTGCAGACAAGGTCTCTATCCTGAGATATTTATTTTTGAAATTTACAATTCTGACCATGTTCCTTTGAATAATATATTAGAATGTTGCCTTTCTATTAACATATTATAATTAATTTTAGTATTATTCGAACAATTGATGGTAAAGTGCTACACAAATACAAACATCCAGCTGCAGTGTTTGGTTGTGATTGGAGCCAAAACAACAAGTACGTATTTTTTTCTAAAATAAATAATAATTACTTTTGGAGATTTTAAATAACCATAAAGTTTAGTGTCATTCCTGTAGGTAGTACTCATCACTCTTGTTAGGTAATATTCCCCTTGCCTGACAAATGAGGAGGAGCCTTGTAATTGCCCATTTGTTTTAGCTATTTTTATTCTATCACATTTTTACTTGATTTAGAAATATTGACTTCCTCTTCTCAAAACAACTTTGTTATACTTAGGAAAAAATCATACTGTTAACTAATGAAAAATGGAAATTAGTCCATTCTATGTGTAGCTTCTACCGTAGAAACGTGGATTTGTTTAATTTCTTTTAGGAATCTATGCAGTGATATTGCGCCACCATGACTTTCCGTTGTCTCCTAACTGATGATGTTAGTGCCTCTGCACTGGATAATTTCCCAAGCTGTGGAACTTAAGTGGATGGTTTTGAAAAGTCAACCTTGTTTGAAAGCCAGATATTTACCATGTAAAAATAAGCTTAGATTTAAAATTAAATCCAACTCAAATCTCTACTAAAATTGGACCTTTAACTCATTGCATTTCCAAGAATTTGGTGTTTCAAACCTCTCTTAGATGGGGTATAAATCACATTTAAAAATTCAAACTTTCTTTAGATATCATCAAAAACAATGAATTATATTATGATTTCCCATGCTACATGTGGGAAATAGATAGACTAAGATATTAAAACCTTATTATATTGTATTCTGAGTCAAATCACATATAATACAAAATGATGGACCTATGTATTTCTTCCAGTAAATGTAGAAGAGTTTATGACACACTGTTAGGGTTATATGCAAATGAGTTCATGACCCGCTCATTGTCCAGTATTTCCTATACCAGTGGTGGATACTGCTAACAGCAATAATTGATAAAACCAGACTCCTTGGCCTTTCTTTTATATCTTTTCATCTCTCCATTTCTATTTCCAGTCAGCCACCAATTTCCAGCCAGCCACCAATGTCATATTTTCTTTTTGAACATTCTTTTATATCTAACCATCCCCCTGCCACCAAACCTATAACATTTGTTTTGTTGTTGTTGTTGTTTTGGTTCCTGTAAAACTCTTCTTAATCAATTTCAGAATCTATGTGCTTTGTCACCACTTCTTCTCTCCCTACCCCACTTCTCTATGCTGCAGAGTGAACACTTAACACGCAGATCTACGCACACCATTCCACTGCTTAAATCTATCAAGAGTTTCCCGTTAATTGTAGGATAAAATGAAAATTCTCAGCAAGCCCTACAAGGAAGTCCTCATACAATCTGGTTCCTTCTGGCTGCTGTCTACTTTATTCATCTCATTCTCAGCCGGGCTCCCCATGCTCCTTGTATCCAGCCACACTGGCTTTCCATTTCTTGAATTAGCCAGTTTTCACTCATGCTGTCCCCCTTTATCTAGGATTCTACTTCCCACCCTAAACCATACGCCTCATCAGGGTTGGACATAGATAACAGCTACCTATCCTTCAGCTCTCAGCTCAAAACTCACTTCCACAGAGAAGTCTTCCTTGACTCCCATATTAGGTAAACTTCACATATAAAATGCCTTTAAAGCACTTAATATAATAAAATTAAATATTTACTTATATATTTGGTTGCATATTGGCTGTCTTACCTTCTAAAATGTTAGCCCCTTGAGATCATAACCTGTGTTATCTGTGGTTAGCAGTATATTCTTAGCAAAACACTGTGTCACTAACCCTCACTGTGCCTTGGAAAAAGTAGATGTTCAATAAATATTTGTTAAATATACAAATGAATGCAATTACCTTCTATCTGACCAATAAAACAATTCCATGTTCTTATTTCTCTGTTTTGTAGAGTTAATAAGCATTTGGCCAGTTGAAATAAAAAATAGATATTAATTAATATGTTTGGCTGATTAAGAAAGCCGTATTTTAAAATGACACTGCAAGTCCTTTAACTATTTAACTATTTGTATTTAACTATTAGGCTTGTTACCAAACATACCTAACAAACTTCATTTTTAAAATTTTCTAATTGCTACATTCATTTTACACTTAACATCTTAGTAGATAAGTGAAAGTATCTTGAACTTATCAAAGTTTATTCATAAACTATCTCTGAATTTATAATTTAGATATCTTTATGTACATTCTTTGAATGTTTATAATACCATTTCTGAGATTTTATATTTCTGTATCAGCATATACGTTGTTTCCTGGAAAATAAGATAGGGTCTTATATTTATTTTTCCTCAAGAAGACACCCTAGGGCTTATTTTCAGGGGATGTGTTATTTCTTTTAAGTATGGTACAACAATCTACATTTATTCAAATACAATTAAGTCGTCTTCTTCTGGAACATCATCATAACTCTCCAAACCCCGAATTCCATCCTGAATTTCTTGCGACTCTATTTCCTTTAGAACCATTGGCCCCAATCTCTCATGTCGAGCAATAGAGCTCTCATGGGGCATATGAGAAGGGCTGCTCGTTGTCTTTACAGCTCCAGGAAGAAATGCATGGGTTGTGCAGATAGGCTGCGTAGCCACGCCCACCGCTAGGTCTTATTTTTGGGGTAGCATTTATATTGCCCAAATGCTTAGAAATCCTGCTAGGGCTTATTTTATGGGTAGGTCTTATTTTTGCAGAAACACAGTACATACATAAACAAATATAGTCATGTATACATGTAAATATATGTATGTATACAAAATATATTTTCCTAAATGTGGAAACTGGCTTGTTTGCCAGTGGGCTCTGGAAAGATGTAATCTGTATATTTTCAGATTGCCATGCCAGTTTGCAAACTGGTATATTTCTACGTGTAGGCTTAAAAAATATAAGCATTATAACCCATGACAAAATCAACAATTTGTAGTTTGGGAAGGGTTTTGATGATAGTTGGGTTCCAAAGTGCATAACTTCCGCTCTTTATCTTGATAATGTAGAAACAGTTTATATGATAGAGTAGATGTTCCTCAAGTAGACTATGTGCTGGCAGGTGTGTGATTTCCCCAGGTCTGCCTAGTACTCATACTTCCTTTCCTAGCAGTATTCCAAGTGTGACCACTAGGGTACAAGTAGTTGCTTAGTTTACCTCTCACTTTTGTGACAATAATGAGCAAAAGACATTAAAAGATCATGCTATATTTCCAGGAGATCCTTAGTTGCATCAAGTAGTTAAAGAATCTCAAAGAGGAGAAACCACCAAAAAGGAATGGAAAAACAGACTGTGAGTTACTGTCCAGTGAGGCAACCCTGGCCACAGGGAGATTTTCCAGCACACTTCCAGGGGGAGCTCCGCTGTTTGTACCATGCCACAAAAAATTTAATAAATGGCTACAGCATGTAATAATAATTTGCTTACCAGCAAGTAAGCAAACTTCATCATTCATCTTTTGACACTTTCTTAAGACTCAATAGTTGCAAAATACAAAGTTTGAGAAACATTCAGAATGGACATTTTGAAAGGGAACTTATAGAAATATAAATACCATTATGTCTGATCTAAGGTAAATAAAATAAAATAATTCAACTCATTAAAAAGTAACACAGAGAAAAACTCTTTCCATACTGGGGCAGTTTCTGTAAATAAGCAATAACATGATTATACATGTTTTTACATATGTAAGTTTTTAGTCTAACTTCATTATGGAATCAAAAAAAATTCTACTTTTAAAAAGTTGAACTTTTATTCACTTTTAATTATTAGTAATAAATAATATCTAATTTTTCATGTTTAAATGTTCCATTGATGATATTTCAGAGACATGATAGCCACTGGCTGTGAAGACAAAAATGTTCGTGTCTATTATGTAGCCACCAGCTCTGATCAACCATTGAAAGTATTTAGTGGGCATACAGCAAAAGTATTTCATGTTAAATGGTCTCCTCTGAGGGAGGGAATTCTTTGCAGTGGCTCTGATGATGGGTATGTATTTTTGGATTCTAATTTTCCAGTCCTTAAAATCATAGCTTATACTTTCTTAGAAATGTACATATTTATATGATCAAATTATTTATATGTGTGGAAACATTTTAAATATGGACTTAACAAGTACGCAGTTAACAAGTACCTAATTGCATTTAACTAAAACTAAATTAAATTCTGCCGTGCTTATGTTATCATTATATTCATGATTTTTATTCCTATATTCATTTTGCTTACTATGGATGCTTATTTCTAGCTTATTAGCAAGAACTAAACAAAAATTTTAAAAGGGTCTGTGGGGAAAGGAAAAAAGATCTGAAACAAATAAAAGAAGAATTTGTTTTTAATAGTGTTCTTATGTTTAATATGGAAAACAGCTGTACTCTGGAATAAAATATCATCATAAATTTTAACATGAAGAGAGTTTAGAAATGAGAATGATTTAACATTTTTCTGGATTTTTGAAAGTTCCTGAAATCTTATCTATATTCTATATTCAAACAAGATAGATTTACATAGTATAAGTTTTCTAGTCACTATTTGAAAATGGGAAAAATTTAGATAACAAAAATCTTAACTTTATGCAAGTAAAATTCATTGTACCTAGTAACTACAAGTTTAACATTGAATAATTAAACATTTTCATCTTGAATTTTTTATATAAATCCCAACTTCATAACAGAAACAATTATGAGATTTTTGGAGTTATCACTTGAAATGTTACTTCTAATACTGTTATCATGTGAAAGTGAATGTGAGTTCAGTTATGAGATTATTCAGTCTCTTAACATAAACTTCAATGTCTAAATTTTATTCTACATGAAAAAGGTATAATTTTCAATTACTGTCTAAAAAATATTTTCAGAAAGATACCAGTAAGCATTCTACTAACTTATGATAATGAAATTGAAAGGCTTTGCTAAATACTGGTTATTGGTCCCTTTAGTAATCATTGTTAATATAGATGAAAATCATATGTACCTTTAAATAAAAGTCAAACATGTAAGGAAACCATTAATTATTGAAGTACTCATGGCATACCTTCCAGATGCTATACTTAAGCTTGGGAAGCCTGAGACACTCCTTATATGCATGGGGCATATGCAAGCCTTTCTTAGGTTTGACCAAAAAAACACACATTGGCACTTCAAAACCCAACTATTAATAACTTATATCATAAAAAGAAAGATACCTGTTCTAGTGGTCCTACAATTACATTAAATTATTTTGATAAAAATCACTTTAATATATTCTTATTTATAAAAGTATGAAATGAAACTTAAAATATTTAAATGCTAACATATAAAAGAAATAGCACCAAAAATTTAGATTATAATATATTTGGCTATATTGTAATATACTAGGATAATGGGAAAAAGAAGAAAGGAGTCTTTTTATATGAAGCAGAAAGAGATATGCCTTAAAGAGATAAAAATATATGATGTGGTTCCTTCATGGTACAATACAACCTTTGAAGTATTAATATTTTGGTATTGTCAGGTTGGTACAAATCTGTGAATAAAAGATTATTGTAAATTATCTAAACAAAATTGTCATTTGGGGGTCTAAAATTGATTCTGATTTCAAATTTTATTTTTAATAACATTTGTACTTTGTATAATCAATAGATCTGGGTAATATCATGGATCTAATTATATTTACATTTTTTAACTTAGTCTCAGGTTCCACACTGACCAAGCAACTTCACTGACAAAAACATGAAGGAAAGATTTACTGTATTGATAAAAGCATAAATATGAAGTGATTTTTCAAATAATACCATCATAATATGTTACACTTTAATGATTTACAAATAATTTGAATGCTCTTAAATCATTGTACCTATGTTGTTAATCATATTTTCTCTTTGGTTATATATATATTTTGGATATTTCATTTTAAGAAGGTAATTTTTTCACATATAAACTGTGAAATAGTACCTTTATTATTGGTAATAAATGACAAGTAAATATCAGGAAAGAAAATATGTTAAAATAGACTAGCACTCACCCAGTTAAATATTAATTTCCATGTGTTATAAGGAGAAGTATGTGAGGTGATAGATTTGTTAATTAGCCTGAGTTAATCTTTCCACGTTGTAAACATAAATCAAAACATGACGTCATACCCCATAAATATATACAATTATTATTTGCCAATTAAAAGTGAAAGAGAATTTTAATGTATCTTGAACCATAGAATGCTTTTTAAATATGCTAAGAAATAATCATTATGCTCTATTAAGGATATGTTAATACAGATAAATTATAACTTGTATATTATTACATACACAATATTCTGTTTTCAGTTCTGTTCGAATCTGGGATTATACTCAAGAAGCTTGCATAAATGTTCTTAGTGGACATACTGCACCTGTGAGGGGATTGATGTGGAATACTGAGATTCCATACCTACTACTGTCTGGCAGCTGGGACTATACTATAAAAGTATGGGACACTCGAGAAGGAACTTGTTTGGATACTGTGTATGATCATGGTGCAGATGTATATGGTAAAGTGTTTTTCATGTATTTGTTATATTGATATATTAATATGCTTATAATTTCTGAGCAATACTATATTTTTGAAGAAGTCTTACGGTGTTTCATTTAAAAATAACATTTTTCTCAGAAAATATACATCTTTATCATTGAAGTATTAGAATATACAGAAGATAGAAAAAGTCATCAAAAATTATCAGAAGATGACTATTGTTAGCACTGTGGTATCTTTCTCTCCCTTTTTCTCTGCAAGCGTATGTGTTTTTGTATACACACACACTGCACAGCTGTACCTATGGACAAACATACATGTATGGCGTAGATTTTTCTCCTTTCCTTTACCATCACTCCAGAGGTAAGTTGTAGAACAGGAAATCAATAATAATGTAGATATAACTTATCTAGCCATGTCCTTGGATATTTAGGACATTATTTTGTTTTTTAATATAATACTTAGTTTTTTGATATAATTGAACTCAGTATGGAAAATCTGATTATATATCTTTTGCACAACACTTTACTCTCATATTTATTTGTATTTATTCTTATGATTAAACCTTGATGAGAATTAGTGAGTAGATTAAGAATGCAAAAATGATTTCTTAGAGAAAGAAGCCCCAGTCCAGCCATTCAAATACATATTTTTTGGATATGGATTTACCCCAGTGGCCTTTTAGGTGAGGCAATGTAGGACTGCATGTAGAAGAGAACCCTATTTGTTAATATCGAAATTGAAAGGTCTTCAACTCTTTCTTCTTGTAACTAGAACTTCAGTCTATCCACTAACTCATAGATACCGTATACACTATTGGTGTTACAGTATACGTGCTGCTGCTTAACCTCATGAAATATAATTTTAACATTTTCATCCGGGACCATTTGCTTTTTAACAATTATTCAATTTTATATTTATATTTATAGAATCTACTCAATAATTTATTACATTCTTATATTATTGTTTTGTGTTAAATGCAAATAGAAGATTGGCTCTGAGAACTTTTCAGTTATTCACAAGATTTCTTCATAACTTCAATTCTATAGAAGTTTTACAAGGTACATACAAATAAAAAATATTTTTTGTTTTTTCCATCAGGTTTAACATGCCATCCAAGTCGCCCCTTCACTATGGCCTCTTGCTCCCGTGATTCTACAGTGAGACTCTGGTCATTAACACCTTTAATCACACCTTTACAAATAAATATTCTGGCAGACAGATCTTGGGAAGAAATTATCGGGAACATTGGTATTGAATGTATGCATTAATCAGATTTTATTTTTAAATAATACTTTATAAGAAGTCTTTTCTCACTAAATTATGTCTGTTCTTCAGATTATGCTGTAGAACAAGGCACTCCTCTGTTGTGTGGTAAAATGTCAAGAGATATTAGACAAGAAATAGAGAAACTAACTGGTAATCCTCGAGCAAAAAAACTAAGGTGGTTTTCAGAATGTTTATCAGTAAGTATTATGGGACTTAAGTGTGAACATTTCCCCTTTCACCAAAATGAACATTACAGTGGTTGTCATTAAGTCATCACATATTTACATGCACCATCCTAAGTCATTGGATCCCTCTTAACATAATTTGTACCAGAAACAGAAATGGGAAAACAATAAATGAGAAACCAGAAACAATAAATGAGATAATATATAGTTATTTTGTTAATTTTTTAATTTAGATATGCCTGCATTATGTGTTTGAAGATGCAAAGTACCATGAGGTTTCACTATTATGTCTTTGATTATTTTGTATCAATATTTTAGCCTCCAGGTGGCAGTGAGAATTTATGGAACTTGGTTGCTGTGATAAAAGGGCAAGATGATAGCTTACTCCCTCAGAACTACTGCAAAGGAATAATGCATTTGAAACATCTCATTAAATTTAGAACAGTGAGTAGTGTATGCACTATGATATGCTCAAGCTAATGTTTTTGCATTTTTAGTCTTAAAGTATAAACATGATTTTAAAAAACAATAAAATATATATGATTAGATTGGTAGACTGAAATAAGTAAACACTGAGGAGATAAATCTTTGGTAAAACCAATCATGAGGGTAAGAATTATTTTAGAACAGATTAAGTCAGTCAGTCATGGTTTTCATAGGTTGAATCTCATGAAATTCTTTAAAGGTCACTCAGAACTCCCTGAAAGGCTTGTTACCAGATGATTGTAACATATGGACTACTCTAATTTTAGTTTGGGCTGTATTCTAGCTTATGTTTTATTAAAACTGATCATAACATAGCTCATAATGAATTTCAGTGCAAAATTATTTGTTATACCTGGGGTAATATTCAGCACTTACCACAAAACCTACCCTGGCACCAGAAAGAAGAAATAGCTTTTATATTTTTGAAATATCAATAGTTAACTGTTAGAGCATGGAAAGATTTGTGCCAGGGATTTGGCTGTAATAGTCATAAGTGACAGTTATTTTTATAAAGATGTACTTTAATCATAAACTTAACAACTATCTACTATAACTGCAAGCTCTACTGACAGTATAGGAGCCAATTGAAGTGAGCCAGTAACTCTTAACTTTTATTAAAGGCCTTTAAGCATTTTTTGACTGTTTGTATATCACTTTATCACTACCTTTTGGCATCTGGACTCCTACATAACTACAACATCTGGAGAGTGTCAAGGACAATGGGATTCAATCTCTGCTCTCCAATCTCCATCCCCACATACACTAAAACATTATGTTTAAGGAGGTATCATATTTTGTAGATAAAAATATTTTTTAATATTTAATTTCCATGGCTGTATGTTTATAAAATATGTATCTATATAATGTTCTTATGATCATCCGTTATCATCGCTCTTGTAAAACAAAATTTTTTAAATTTTATTTTCTTTTTAACCAGTCTGAAGCCCAAGAACTAACGACAGTCAAGATGTCTAAATTTGGTGGTGGTATTGGTGTCCCTACTAAAGAGGAAAGACTAAAGGAAGCTGCTGAAATACACTTGAGATTAGGACAAATTCAGAGATACTGTGAACTTATGGTTGAACTTGGAGAGGTAAGCCATTATTAAAGTAAAATTAATGCATTAAACAGAGTAGTCTAAGTATAAAGTAGAACAAAAGAGAAAAAGTATGGTATATTCAGTAAAATTAATGAAGGAAACTTCATGAAGAAAGTTTTTATCAATTATTTTAAGGAGAAAAAATGGATTAATGAGGAATAAAGATAGGGTGTCCTATTCATTAAAAAAAGCAAGAATATAATTGATTCTCTGCCAATCTCATACTAAGTGTACACCCTAGGACAGTAGTTATCAAAGTGAGGTCTTTTTGAAGAAGTCTTACCATCTTTCAGGATAGCAGTGTCAATATAACTTGGTACCCTTTTAGACATGCATGTCCCAGCCTAGACCTCCAGAATCAGAAACTTTGGGGATGGAGCCCAGTCATCTGTGCTTTTATAAGTCTTCCTGGCTATAAAAGGGCTGGGATGGATTTTCTCTGTTAAATAATAGGATTTTACGTATTTTATTTTAAAATACATTAATATGAGGGGGACTTCAGAAATTTGTGGAAAAGTAGAATTAAAAGATAAAAATAAAAGATAAAAATATTATTTCTCAATGTTAGTTCCATCAAGTTCAAGACAGTTTTGTAACAGATGATACTAGCCATTTAGTCCATCCCTTAAAGAACTGACTGTCCTGGAAATTTAACCATGTCAATACAGTCTTTTTTACATTTTTAACTGAAGCAAAGTGGGTACCCTTTAAAGATATTTTAAGGCTAGGAAATAAAAAGAAGTTAGAAGGAGCCAAATCAAGACTGTAAGGTGGGTGTCTAATAATTTCCCATTGAAAGTCCCACAAAATTCTCCTTGTTTGATGAGAAGAATGAGCAGGAGCATTGTTGTGGTGGCAATGGACTCTCTGGTGAAACTTTCTTGGGTGTTTTTATGGTAAAGCTTTGGATTCATTTCCCAAAACATGCATAACAAGCAGGCATTACCATTCTTTGGCTGGCCAAAAAGTCAACAAGCAAAATTCCTTGAACATCCCCAAAAAATGTTGCCATGACCTTTGCTCTTGACTGATCTGTTTTGCTCTGACTGGACCACTCCTACCTCTTAGTAGCCACGGCTTTGATTGTGCTTTGGCTTCAGGATTGTACTGGTGAAGACATGTTTCATCTCCTGTTACAGTTCTTTGAAGAAATGCTCCAGGATCTTGATTTTACTTGTTTAAAATTTCCTTTAAAAGCTATACAGTTGTCTGCAGCTGATCTGGTACAATAGTTTTGTCACCTATCAAGTGGAAAGCTTGCTCTTCTTTAATTTTCAGTCATAATTGTGTAAGCTGAACCAATTGAAACATACATGGTGCTGGCTACTGTTTGTGCTATTACTCACCGGTCTGCTTCAGTTAGGGCATGAACAAGATGAATGTTTTCCTCACAAATTGATGTGGATAGTCTGCTGCTGTGGGCTTCATCTTAAACATCATCTTGTTTGTACCTTCTTAAAATGAGTTGCCCATTTGTATTTGTAAACTGCTGATTCCTTTGGGAAATTGTCCCTATAAACTTTTTTGAAAGCATCAATGATTTCACCATTCTTTCACACAAGCTTCACCGTAAATTTGATGCTCTTGCTCCAACTTTAACAGAATTCATGTTACTCTGACAGAGGCTCTTTTCAAACTGATGTCTTACTCTTGTTAGTGCCTCAAACTAGATGCTGTTCAAACATGTTATATATAACAAGTTAGTACTGAGTTCATTTTGATGCAAAAAAATTTGGAATCTATGTATTTTTTCATAATGTGCATTTTCCATGAACTTTTTGAAGATCCTTCATATTTATACTATATGGAATGCATGAGATAGAATACAAAAGTATTCTTGAAAATCCAAAAACTCTAAAATTTCTGTATTCTAAATATGAATTCATTAAAAAATATTTTAAGAATGACACAGTGCAATCAAAACAGATATGCTTCTGCTCTTTTTGCCTTTTCTTCTAGTGGGACAAAGCCCTGTCAGTTGCACCAGGGGTCTCTGTGAAATACTGGAAGAAGCTAATGCAGAGGTAAGGCGGAGAGTCTGTTTTCAAATAGATGTTTTCAAATCATTTGTTAAAATAGAAATGGTATGTAAATATATGAATAGCTCATGGGATTTTTTTATAATAATAATTATAAATTTTTATAATTTTTAAAAAATTTTTTCTTATAATGCCTTAACTTATTAATAACTGAATTTTGTATTTACTGATACAATAAATTAAACAAATCTGTTACCAGTCATTTTGGTGTTCTGATATTTTATTTGAACCCTGATGTAAACAATGGAAGGCAAATTTTCCCATGTCAGTGGGGAAAAAGATCAGCAAACATATTCACTGATTACTATATTGCTATTTGAATACAAGTAATTAGATTTTCTGAATATTACCAAAAGTTCATAGAATACTATTTTATAAATAATCTCAAAAATTCTCTCTGTAGACATTAATTTCTGCCATTTCCTCCCCATGGATATGAGGGAGGTACTGATGATAGAGAAGGGTCTGGCCGCTGAGGACACTAACATTTTTGTCTTAGAAGGCACTAAACCAATAAGAATATTTTTCTCAATTGTATTAGCTTCCTAGGGTTATCATAACAAAATTACCACAAAATGGGTGGCCTAAAACAACAAAAATGTATTCTCTCATGATTCTGGGGGCCAGAAGTTCAAAATCATATTGTCACAAAGTTGGTTCCTGCTGGAGGCTCTGAGAAGGAATCAGTCCCCTGCTTCTCTCCCAGCTTCTGCTGGTGACCAGCAGTCCTGGGCACCTTGTGGCTTGTAGATGCATCTCTCCAGTCTCTGCCTCATCTTCACAGGGCATTATGCCCCTGTGTTTCTGTGCCCAAATTTCCTCTTCTTGTAATGACACAAGTCGTATTGGATTTAGGGCCTACCCTCATCCAGGATGGCCCCACGTTAATTTAACTAATTACTAAGGTTACAGTCACAGTACCATGGGTTAGGACTTCAACATATCTTTTTGGGGATACAGTTCAACTCACAACGTAACAATTATTCTTTATTCTATTCTATTCTGTTATACTCATTCATTTAACAAATATTATATTTATTTAGTGCCTGCTGTGTGCCAATCACTGTGCCAGGCTTGTGGAGTACTATGTAATAAATAGTTACCTTGCTTTAAAAGAGAAATTTTGAATTTTTTATAAGACATGGTTAAGAGGAAAAAAAAAAAAAACAACTGCTATTCACACATACAAATAAAAATTAATCAAGGGCTAAGCGTGAAATTCAGACGGATTAACACATTTGCCATGGGAAAGTAGACTGTTCCCAACACCGACTTGCCCAACAATATGTTAAGCAGGCTGTAGTCCTCAGACTGCAGGCTCCCTATCCTAAGCTCTAAGAATCCCAAATACATCTAAGTTCCTGTACCCTCACAGCATAATTGTGAATGGTTTTGCTCCCACCGAATCCTTAATAAAGTCAGGTTAGCAGAGAATATTTATTTCACAAAACATTGTTTCAAAGTCAACAAAAACTTAATTGAATGCCAGTTAGGACGAAGGTATAGTCACTCAGTGTGAATAATTTGCAGAATAAAAGTAAAACTATTTTGTATTCTATATGATTATTGATATACTTTTCTATATTAATATGCTACTACATTGCTTTTATGATAGTTATGAGTTTTAAATGTTGTGTATCCTCAGATATATTGTAACAGAGTAAACATTTTGTAAACTAGTGCATTTGGACTGAGCTATAAAGGATACATAGGAGATAACCACGTGAAGGGGCTACAGAAATGTTCCTGGCCTAGGAAGCAGAGAGTAAAGGAACTCTGGAAAAGGAGGCTTCTGTAGCTGGAGTACAGAAGCCGGGGGAAGTGATGCCAAGTGAAAGTGGAGCCCAAGCTAGATGTTTTAGGACTTTATAAACACATTAAGTTTTTTTTCTCTATCCTAAGAGCAATGGAAAACATTCAAAGGTTTTAAATAGGGTACAAAATAACCTGACTAGTTCTTGATTTCAAAAGTTTACACAAACTGAAGTACCAAGAACAGATTAGAGAAGGTCCATAGCAGATATGAAGAGACCAGTTAGAAGACACTTAGAATAGCCAAGTCAAGAGGTGAGTAGCATAGAGGCATTATATGGTGGAGGAGATGGACAAAAGCAGACACATTTGATATATTTAGGAGTTAAATTTCATGGGACCTGGTAATAAAGATATGGAAGGTGTCATAAATAATTCCTAGGTTTTAGGTTTGAAAACCTGGATAGAAGCTGTTGGCATTCACTGGGATCGAAAACCAGACCAAAACAACCACAAAAAAAAAAAAAAAAAAAAAAAAAAAGAGAAAAACCTTAGCAAAAGATTTGAATCAAATGGGACATAAGATCATGAGTTCTCTTTAGAGATCTTGAGCTTGAGGTTCCTGTGTGATTTTAGTGACAATGTCAAGTAGCCAATCTTGATTTTATAGCCTGAAGAAGAAATCTGGACAACATGGAGGGTATTGTTGACCTTGGTAAGAGGTGTTTTGGCAGAAAGAAGAAGAAGGAAGCAAGATTTGAATAGGTTAAGTGAGGCTGGGGAGGAAAGGAAGGAAGCAGATGGAAATAAAGATGACTCTTCCACCTCTATTTCATTTGTCTTCAAAAGCCAGCACCTGCCTCTGCTCCTTAGTCCACATAGTGGCCAGCAGTGGTCTCCTCACAATTCTTGTATTTATATTTTATACCCAGCCATTCATAAAGGTTGATTGGTGGTCTCTCAACCCTAGTTCCAAATCCCCAAGAAGGTATAATTTTATTTCTAAACAGCTATAACAAGGAAACTAAAGTCACATAGTAAAATCATAGCTTCTAAGGAGTACTCCCATGAGTCTATGAATTGAAGACTCTGAGCAGCAAGCTGGGCAGACAGCATGAAATGTATCTTCTATACCTACCCAGAGATTAGAAATTGAACTCTAGTTTAATGCAAATGCTAGCATAAATATACCAGGATATTTTTAAACAAAACTGAGAATAAACCTTAATACCTAAGTTGGTCATTGAAAAACTACCTGGGACTTGGATGGGAAGAGAGACACACAGACAGACAGTGATGGGTGCAGAGAGAGGCAGAGACAGATATACAGAGACAGATGTATGTACACCCTACACGCCTCCAGTGTCCTGCTCCTCTTTTCCACTTCACACATCTGTAACATTAATCTTCTCTAAACTTCCTTGCTTGGGGCACTTAAAGTATTCTGCATTTTATTATCAAGATTTATGATCCTGTATTATGCTTTTTAATGATTTTTAAGCTACCTTAGTTTAGAGGCTTTCTGTTTATTGCCATGCTCACTGGAAATTCTCTGTCTTTAACAGTGTAAACACTCATATATTTGATTAATCCAGTTCCATTACACATAGCTGGTTTACAGCTTATTTTCAAATAAATACATTGCTAATTTTAATAGATAAGCTACATTGATTTTAAGAATTAAAATGTTCAGGGCATTTAAAATGTGAAAATATGTTGTATTCTAAAGGCAAACAAGTTACCTGTAGTATTTATTATCTTATTAAACTTTTATTTGTCTTCCATATGTGATTTTATTATAAAATCTAAATCTTTTCTAAAAGCAATACGCCAAAGGGCTTAATGAAATCTGCTGCACATTGTAGCTGTGTTTTCAGAAAAATCTCAGTCCAACTGAAAACCTTGAAACTAGTATATTGTGAAAATAATAATAATAATAAAACTATCCTTATTTTATTAGGAGAGCTGACCAGTTAATCCAGGAAGATAAGGATGATGTCATTCCATACTGCATAGCCATCGGTGATGTGAAAAAATTAGCCAATTTTTTTATGTCAAGAGGTCAGCTTAAAGAAGCCCTGCTTGTTGCACAGGTATAACTACATAATTATACAAGCCATGGACATTAGTGGGTAGGCATGTGGAAGGGAGAAGACTGCGTTGACTGGCTCTCCCTCACATAATTGATCAAGTCATAGATGGCTTCGCTTCTACCCACCTCCTCAGCCCTCTGTCTCAATGTTTCAGTCATACTGCCTTTGTTCAGGTCACACTGAACTTACCTTAGATTTTTAAGCACAAGCATTGTATCTACAAACTCTGAATTTTTCAAACTTTTCACATGCTGCTGAATCTTATATATCATCCATTTGAACAACTTTTTTTAGTAATCGTTTTCTCGAAAGTTTGTTTTGGTACTCACAATGGTGTTAACATTTTATTTCTTTACAAATTTTAAGGCTATCTCAAAATATACTATAAATTTCAGCCATGATTGGTGTACTTTGCTCAAAAATAATATTCTGAAATTGGTCAGTTATCGACAATTAGCTAAAGATTAATTGAATATTTAATCAAATTCTAGGCTGCATGTGAGGGAAATATGCAAACCATACATGTTTCTACACCAAAAGGAGCCTCATATTCTGGTGATACCTACAAGGAAGAATTTAATGAGTGAGTGATTTGTTCTTTGTTTTGGGTCAATATTTTTTATAGTTGGTTTCCCTTTAGGAGTTTTTGAGGGGTTACATACCAGGAAGGGTTAATCTTTCTTTGTATACTGAGGACTTGGCTGACTCATGTCCTCAACTGCATTTCTCACCATGATCTAGTTCCATTACAGCATCCATCCCTAGATGAATAGGGAAATGTCAGGCATACAGATACAGCCTACACACATTTTATATAGCTTTCAGAGAAGCAAAATGCATTTCAGTGGAGAGATTGCAACTAAAGCACCTAAATACTTAAAAACTGATCAAACCTGTTGGGGAGGACCATCTGTGAAAATAAGGTGGGCTGCTTAGTGATATTTCCCTATAAAGTCGGCAGGTATAACATCGTGGTAATGTAGTTCACAATCCCATAGCCCAGTATTAGTAACTGGAATAACATTTAGTCCTCTTTTAAGGAAGAAATCCAAATAGTTATTTTAAAAAAGAAATAGAAATTTAAATTTTCAGCCTTTTTACCTTTTTTTAAATGTAGTAGTCTTTCTTCTCCCACCCATTCTATTGGCTCCTATTATTGCTCTGAAAAAAAATATGATATTTAAACTCTTAAGACATTCATCAAGTAGAAAAGGACCATGAAATATTAAACAAATAATGTGTTGGGAATAACATATTCTTTTCTGTATCTCTACTGATGTTCTCCACCACTTCTAAACTTCGCATTTTAAAGATCTAACACAACCCCAACCGTATTTTTGACACCACTTGAATTTTGAAAAATTGCAGTTCAACTCATAATTTTCTTCTAAGTTTATAACTGCCCCTAATGCTGAATATATACCAACTGAAATTATTCAATGCAGGATGGTAAGTTTTGAAATTTAGGCTTTTCATCTGACAATTGTGGGGGTGGAGAGATCATATACTTAAAATGACTGCTTTGTTGATTTTTTTTTCCAAAAAAATAAGGCTTTGTACCTAAATCAAGGATGTCAAACTAAATCATATTTGGTCCCTTAATCACCTTTGTAAAAGGGCATTCGTTTTGTTTTATGATGGAATCCTTGCATTTACATAGCATATATACTTTTTTTCTTTCCAGACTCTTGCACAAAGTCAGTAAAGAACTGGCAGAATGGTATTTTCAGGATGGTCGAGCAGTACTAGCCGCATGTTGCCATCTAGCTGTAGATAACATTGAGGTACAACATTTCAGATTGGTTTATGTGAATGAAAAGCTCTGTAGTTGTGTCCTTGTGTTTGAGGAGAAAAAATATGATGACTTTCTGTGTGAGGTCTGGTTTTGCATGTGCTTCCCAAGCCTGAATAATAGAGTAATTACATGCCTAATAAGTGCACATAAACTCTACAGACTATGAGCTCCTCTGTTTCATTTTTATCACAAGATACATATTTGCAAAAACCTTGTTTTAAACATTTTTATCATCTGTTAGAAGCAGCAGTATGGTAAAGGGAAAAATCTCTGGATTTAGATCCAAAATATCTGAGTTTGAGTCCTGTTTCTGTCACATACTGACTTTGAGCATGTCACTTAACCTCTCAGAGTCTCAGCTGTCCTCCAAAATTAAAATATGGATACTTGCCTTGCATTTCAAAAGCAGTTGTTAGAATTTCAAGAACTAATACAAATGAAAGCACTTATTTTTAAGTATACTTTAATATATTCTTCACAAGGTATATTTTTAAGGTATTTTCCACTTGACCCATTAATATAATAAGGAAAATATTAAATAAAGGTATAAATTCTGTTTTGCATTTATCCTTAGATATATCCGTTTTAGGGAATAGTTGATAATTGTTGTATAATCTTGAAGAAGTCTCTAAAAATTTACATTTTTTTCTGATAGGGAGAATGAAGGACATGTTAAGAATATTATAGAGTGTTATTAATTACAAGAATAGGACCAAGGGTTCTAAACTCTTAAATTCTGTCCTGATAAAATTTTCTATATGTCTCATTAGCTTTTCCTTCTGAAAATTGCAGTTACTCTTACATAGGTACTTTATAGAAATATTGCAATCAATATTTTATAAGAATAATTGATTTATAGGTTAATACTACTTTATCTACTTTATGAGCTTGGAGGGAAATGATGATCCTACCCAGCATCTATGCAACTGAAGACATTATTTTCTTATTGAGCAAGCTTGCTATGGCATACCTGATTCGTGGAAACGAGCTGGAGCTGGCTGTCTGTGTGGGCACAGTACTGGGAGAGTCTGCAGCACCAACAACCCACTATGCCCTAGAATTATTGGCAAGAAAATGCATGATGATTCCAACATGGTAAGAATAATTTTATAGCAATAAGAGCACATTTAAAAAAATATCACATATTGTATTTGATAACATGTGTGTTGGGAGAATACAGGATCTCCTTTTTTATAAAGGATAATATTATGGGGGGAAATGGTGATATGGTTGTGAAGTACCATGGTTATATAATGAGATCTACCATGACCCATTCTGAAGTAGCCCAGTTGTAATTCTGTAATGTTTCAAGCACCTGAAGTATCATGAGACAACAACTGTGTACTTCTTATCAGAATTACATATTCCCACATCTTAAAATTCTACATATATACACTTATTTTTGTCAGATCTCAAGTCCTAGTTTAGGATTTGAAAAATAAAGTCACTTTTCTAATGAAAAGCAATAACCAAGATGGTTTTGCTGGAGACTTGCAACAGGCCTTCTCCCTAGACTCTGGCAATAACCCTAAGAGTTAGACCCTGGGAATTCCCTGGGGTAGCCTGGAACTCCAGTTCGTAGTAATTCTAGCTCATATCTGTAGAGCCTTGCTCTTAGGTCAGATAATAAATACATCATTATGGAGGCACCTTTATGAAAGATACAATTCTGTCATTTAATAGATATTTGTTAAATAAAGATGATTTTAGATTTTTATCTTCTCTTCCCTCAGGACCTCAATAAGTTTCTAAATAAACTCGTTTCTCAGGACTTTGACCTCTCCTCATTGCATATCCTATGCACACATTCACCACCCTTAATAAGGTAGAGCTATACAGATGACTGTAACTATTAAACATTACATGTGGTAATAATAATAATAATAATGACAGCCAACTAACACCTCTGTACTGCTTACACTGTGCCAAGCACTATTTTAAGTACTTTACCATAAAAACTGACTAGATCCCATGAGGTAGGTTTTCATTTGTCTAAGGTCTCAGTAAGTGGTAGAGCCAAGATTGTAAGCTACATAAATTGGCTCTAAAGTTTGTGCTCTTAGCTACCACACTATTATAGGTTGAGTATTTCTAGTACAAAAATCTGATAGCTGAAGTGCTCCAAAATCCAAAACTTTTTGTACATAAACATGACACTATAAGCAGAAAATTTTATATGTAAGTACTTAACACATAACTTGTTTCATGTAAAAAATTAGTTAAGATAGTATATAGAACTATCTTCAGTATATCTGTACAAGCTGTATATGAATATAAATGAATTTTGTGTTTAGACTTGGGTCCTATCCCACGATATCTCATTATGTACATGTAAATATTCCAAACTCTGAAAAAAAAACTGGAATCTTAAACACTTCTGGTCCCAAGCATTTCAGATAAAGGATACACAACCTGTGCCACCTTTTTATCTGGGGCTAGCTCAAAAAAAGAACAATTCATTTACATTCTCCTTTTCTGTCTGGATCTGAAGGCTTCAGGGATCTCAAAGTTCTAACTTTTACACATATCTTATGGTGATATAAGAGCTCCCTCTCCCCCACCAAAAGGTACCCCACTGTCAGTCTTGTATTTAATGCTGACTATCCTCTGAGAATATCCAATTATCCCTCTGTCAAGAACTTTAACAGTCAATTACAGAGTTACTAGGACTTGCCCTAGCATGTCATGCATCTCAAAGCATGAAGTGTAACTCAAGTTATTTATTCACAAACGTGGCTGACTCTATGTGAAAATCATCATCTAATCTAAATAAAAGGGGATTTGCTTTTAAAAAGTAAAGTTTAAAAAGCAGCAAAACATAAATACTGTATACAGTTGACCCTTAAACAATGCAGGGGTTGGGGCACCAACCCCTGGTGTAGTAGAAAATCCAAGTATAACTTTGGACTCCCCAAAAACGTAACTATTAATAGGCTACTGTTCACCAGCAGCCTTACCAATAACATGAATTGTCAAAACACATTTAGTATGTTATATGTATTATATACAGTATTCTTACAATAAAGTAAACCAGAGAAAAGAAAATGTTATTAAGAAAATCATGAGGAAGAGAAAATATATTTACTTTTCATTGAGTGGAAGTGGATCCTCATGAAGTTCTCCATCCTTGTTATCTTCATGTTGAGTAGGCTGAGGAGGAGGAGGAGGTAGAGGAGGGGTTGGTCTTGCTGTCTCAGAGACAGAAGAACATCTGCACATAATTGGACCCAACCATCTAAGTCAAACTGGTGTGTTTCAAGGATTCACTGAATATTAAATTAAAAAGATGTTTAAAAATCTTTGTACTAACTATATGTTTTTAAATAAAAAACAAACTTCTATTTCCTTGTAACTTCCACCTAAGAGTTCTTCCTTTATATATCCATAGACATGTGTATTAGAAACTAGGAAAACGTTCAAATTCTGAAACATATGGTGCTGATTGGGTTTATTTTATTTCCAGGAGAAATCTATAATCCTCATGGCTATCAGAAGAGCACCACAGATTAAAAAAAAAAACAAACCAGAATGTTTATAATCTTATAAACTATAAATACATCATGTGTTTTACATTTCCTTGATATTCATTGTATAGTCATGGTATTCATTTTTAATATTTTCTTTGTAGCTTTCCATCTGTTGGATACAGGTATTATCTACTCTTGTTTAAAAAAAACAGGTTTATTAAGAATTTATAAACTAATTTGTTTTATTATTTGCATATCATCTCTGTATTAAGAAATAGTCACTATTTTCACTTGGTTTTGTGGTATGTCAGTTCATATATATATAATTTGTAGCACATAAAACCTAACTACAAAGTAATGAGAACCATTCCTATAAGCGATGTACAAAATCACTCATGGTTTTATACTTAAAACTTGTATAATAAATGAACTGTGGCTTTCTACAATACCAAATGATAGGTATCTCAGCTAAGCAAAATAAAATGCCTGTATTGATAATGAAATTTAAGAGTTTAGGTCATTTGGTTGGTATATGTAATTTTACATATATGTATACACACACACACTTTCCCCATTTGTTTGCTGAATTTTTTTTTAAGAAATGAATTAGATTAAATATTTGAATAAAATTAGCTGACCTAGCTATAAATTTTCACTGTATCAGGATATGATCCTACATTAAGAAAGTCAGATTTTATCTGTAGTTCATACAAATTTTAATAGTATTTTAGCACAGCTATCTTATAAACAGTAAAAGCAAATTATAATTTATATATTTTCTGGACATTATTTAAAACTGCTGTTAAATTTTGGTATCAGAAAGCACACAAAGTCATTCATACTTTTTAGCAAGAAGAGGTAAACTACTCTAATTTGCAACTTATAAAAACAGTCAAAGGTTTACCTGCTTAACATAATGGAAAATCTGGCAGTTTTGGAAGGCATTATGTTTAATTATTAAGTAGCTAGGGGAAAATAATGTGAACGATCATTGTACTATTTTAGCATTTCTTTATTGACATCATCTAGAAAATTATTTATTAATAAAATGTTGAATTATTAGAATGTTTTGTGAAAAATTTTATGATGCTTCACTAAAATGTTTATAATTCTAAAAACCTTAAAGTAAGCCTAATTTAAAATTCTAATAGTTTGTGATGTGTGTGTGTAGGGGAGGGTGTATTTTTTGTCTATTTGAAACATTTGTTGTATTGAAAAATAAAGCCCAAAAATTATTTTTTAAAAATAAGCACAAAATACAGGACTTCTAACTGCTGGGTGACAATGTTAGATTTTTACTTATTATTGATGCCTCAACATAACCTTAAATTTCCCAAAAGCATGGTATTTTAAAATTTGACAAATGGTGCTTATAGTAAATTAATAGTAAATTATAGTAAATAGTAAATTAAACAGCCTTTACATATGCAAAATAACATATATACAAAGTTATTCATTTTAGTATTGTTTATAATAGTAAAAGATTGGAAACCATCTAAGTTGCATCAATAGAGGGGACACACTATGTTCCATCAATACAATGAAATGTTATGCAGAAGTTCTAAAAAATAATGAAACAGGCATAGTGTGGTACTACTTATGTAGGAAATGAGGGGGCATTGGAAAATATGTAAATTTATTTGGTTGTATAATACATGGTTAATATAACTCCAGAAAGATACTTAAAAAAAAACCTAAACACCACCAGTTGCCAATGGGGAAACAAATGAGGGTGAATGGGGCCAGGATGGGAGGAAAACTTTTTAATAAATATTCTTTTATGTTTTTTGACATTTGAGCCATGCAAATATTTTACTTATTCTAAAAAATAAATTGTTAAAATAAATGACATTTTATAAAAGTAAAACATGTATAAGATTATTTTAAAAGAAATGAATACTTTCAAAAATGTATTGCTCACTGACTAGGTTATATACAATCACACAGATGAAACCAATTTGTAAAGGAACTACTACAATTATGTGTAACCTTAAAACTTCTCAATATGTGTCCCATTGAGTTACATTGCATATCGCCATCTTAGAGTCAATTTCATCTCACATTTTTTAAAATAAAATTTTTGTCTGATACCAGATAATTTTGCAAATTATCTGTATGCCTATGATATATTCATTGTATTCTTGATTAAGCAAGTCTTAAGTTTTCAAAAATAATTGATACCATAAGTAACCAATGTAGATTTTACAGATGTCTACAGGAAAAGTTGAAGTAGGGTTTTACCCTTAGAGGCCCCAGCACATGGATTTATAAATTTTCATTTGAAGTATCACCTATTGTAAAGTCATACCGAATGCCTACATATCAATTTTTTAAAAACCGAATATCTTGAATCATTAAAAATTAGGGATTTTCTCAGTTACAATGCATGCAAGCAAAACTCCTTACCTAGTGATTTGAAAAGAGGATCTGATAGAAAATATTTTTAATGTAAAGTTGCTGAGTTCATACCATTTTATGTTTTTAAAAGCCTTAAATGATTTATTATACTGATTGAATCTTTAAAAAGTAAATAAGAAAACTACCTTTCTATCTTTGATTCCCACCTAAAGTTTAAGTAGTATGCAAAAATACCCAAAATTCTAAACTTAAAATAGCTCAGTGTCCTACTTATTTCAATGAGTTGGCTAGTACAATTTTCCATTGTTGACAAGCATAACAAAAATTGATAAGACTTAAATTTCACAAAATTTGCTTTATAATTCACTGCAAAGAACATATCCAAACTACTTGATTTGGTTAAGGAAGTATTCTTTAATAATAAAACTGATTATAAATATATGAATACTAACGTATGTAAAGTTTATGTTTTTAAAAATATTTAGGAATTTTATAATATATTTGTCCTTCATGTAGATTGGTTTCTATAGTCTGCATTAAAGTAGTTTCACAATTAAGTAGGAAATTAGTACTGTTTTTGTAAATAAGTAGAAAAGCAAGGACAGTGTATTATATGAATCCCCTTTCTTGGAGATAGTTACAAATTTTATTTTTGGATCTTTTCCTCAATGAATTATCCCCTTTTGTTATGTGAACAGGAATTTGGCAGCTGATCTTCTCCTGATGATTCCTGATAATGAACTACATTTAGTAAAACTCTGCGCTTTCTACCCAGGGTGTATTGAAGAAATAAATGATCTTCATGAGAAGGTATGCTGATGATATTAAATATTCTAGTTTGGAATGCAGTGCTATGATTTAACTAATTATAGGTTCAAGCAAGTAGAGATACATGGAGAGAAATATATGTTCCCTTTGGGATACTTATAAGTATAGCCAATATTATAACAATAAGAAGTAACATTTATTGAGCTTCTACTATGTGCTTGGCACTGTTCTAAAGTTTTACATATATTTGTATCTTACTTAATTCTCATGAACCCCTGAAAAGCAAGGGATATTGTTCTATTTTACAAAGAAAGTAAAATCGGAGAAGGTAAGGAACTTGCCCAGATTAGTTAATGCAGGAGTGAGAGTATCAACTTCAGTAAGTCTAACTCCACATCCCAAGTCCTTTCCACTTAACACTTTACATCTTGAGGTATGTGTATGATAACTTTTAAAAACAGATAATTATAGAGGAAAATGTAGGGAAAACTCTTCTAGATATCAGCCTAGGCAAAGAATTTGTGACTAAGACCCCACTGGCAATCACAGCAACAGCAAAAATAGATAAATGGCATTTGATTATACTAAAAAGCTTCTGCATAGCTAAGGAAATAATCAACAGAGCAAATAGACAACCTACGTAATGGAAGAAAATATTCAAAACTATACATCTGACAAAGGGCTAATATCCAGATTCTACAAAGAGCTCAAGCACAAATCAGCAAGAAAAAAACAAAACAGCCCATTGAAAAGTGGGCAAAAAGCACGAACAGAAGCTTTTCAAAAGAAGATAGACAAATGGCCAATAAACATATGAAAAATGCTCAACATCACTAATCATCAGGGAAAAACAAATTAAAACCACCATGAGATATTACCTTACCCCTGTTAGAATGGCTTTTATTAAAAAGTTCCAAAACAACAGATCCTGGTGTGGATGCAGAGAGAAAAGGAGCACTTATACACTGTTGGTGAGACCACAAATTAGTACAACCTCTATGGAAAACAGAATGGAGATTCCTCGAAGAAGTAAAAGTAGAACCACTATTTAATCCAGCATTGCCACTACTGGGTGTCTACCCAAAGGAAAAGAAGTCATTTTATCAAAAAGACACCTGCAATCAAATGTTTATTGCAGCACAATTCACAATTTCAAAGATGTTGAATCAAGTGCTTATCAATTAATGAATGAATGAACAAAATGTGGTATATGTTTACTGTGGAGTACTACTCAGCCATAAAAAGGATAAATTAATGCCTTTCGCAACAATTTGGATGGAACTGGAGATCATTTTCCTAAGTGAATTATCCCAAGAATAGAAAAACAAACACCACATACACTGGCTATTAAATTAAAACTAACTGATGAGCACACCTGTGCATAGAGGAATGTAAAACTCAGTGGAAATCAAGCAAGAGGGAGAAAGGAGGTGGACAGTAGCAAAAACCAGCCTAATGGATACAGTAAACACTATCTGGGTGATGGGCACACTTACAACCATGACTCAAACATTACAAAAGTGATCCATGGAACCAAAAACATGTATACCTGCTTAATACCTTGAAATTTAAAAAAAAGACAACTTAGGATCTTTAAAAGAATTAATGAAATAAAATGAAATTTACTTGCATTATTCTAAAGTCCTTTAAAAACATACTCCTTTGCAGAATATAGGAAGCTATGTACCAATATTATATATAAAAGTAACCAAATATGTTCAACAATAGGGAGGTTATTTAAATTACAGTACATTTCTATATTTCAATGCTCTTAATCCATTAAAAATTATAAAGATCTATTTTTACTTACATGAGTAAATCACAAATCTATACATATACCATGTGATTTCATTTTGAAAATAACTGAATGTACATATTTATTTTGTTTATAGCATATGTAAGAAGATACCTGCAGTTTTACTAAGAAAAAGATAAGATATAAGTAGAACATTTTCTCATCTTTAACTTTCAAAATAACAAAGTTTTGTTTCACTTATTTGAACCTTTATTTTTCCCCTAGTGGGTGAGTGGCCCTGTGCATTAAACAACAGATATTTATTGAGTACTATGTTAATGCAGATAGACCAAAAGTGTATGTGAGTGAGCATGCATGGGTAGATATGTGTATGTTAGTGTGTGTGTATGTGTATGAGAGACAGAGAAAGAGATATCAATCAGGGCAAATACTTGTGAAAGGATAAATGTTCAAAGTTATCAGTGGCCTGTTAAATTATGGGAGATTTTAACTTCTGTACACAATTTGTTGTCTGTAAACTATTGTTTAGCTTTGCTTTGCTTTTATACACATGGCACCTAAAAGCTATATTTATGTTGAAATTAAAATGCACATGGATGGAAGCAGGAGGGGCTTTTTCCCCCAATTATTCTTCACAATTACTGTGTAGTGCTTAAATGTACACTAACAGATATCCTCTGAGAAAAAAGGTGCAGATGTTAATATCAAGTAAAGTAAGACTAAATGAGTTGTCTAAGCTTACATAGCTTTTTAACAATAGGGACAAGAATATTATTCACCTGGTCTTTTCATGACATATTCAAAAAGGATAGAATTGGACTCTCTGGTCAGATTTCATTAATAATTTTAGAAAGACTAGTGAGTATATGGAAAGGTTTAATAACTTTGAACAGTTTTACAAGTACAGATGCTCCTTGACTTACAATGACTCGAGTTGCAATAAGTTGAGAATATTGTAAGTTGAAAAATGCATTTAATACACCTAACATACTGAACATCATAACTTACCCTAGCCTACCTTAAACATGCTCAGAGCACTTACATTAGCCTTCACTTGGGCAAAATCATTTAACACAATGCCTATTTTATAATAAAATGTTTTATATCTCATGTAATCCATTGAATACTGTACTGAAAGTAGAAAACAGTATGGTATACAACATACAGGGTACTTGGAATATGGTTTCTATTGAATATAGTATTACCTTTACACTCAAAAGATGATAAGTCAAAGCGTTGTAAGTCAGAGACCATCTTTAATATTAAAAATTATATAATCAGATATGATATTAACATATTAATTTTTGGAATTTTAAGATAGGACAAGAATTACAATGACTTGAGAATGATCATCTCCCTCTTCTTATTATTCTATTTTAAGATAACATTTCAATGGGAATCATTTTTTATTCTCTCTATGCTTGGGCATGTATCAAGATGAAGAAACCATTTTTCTATCCAGCCAAGTACAGTACCTAGCACATATTAGTTGCTCAGTAGATAACTGGCATTTTGTAAGTATTGAGAAACAATATGAAATATCATATATATAAGAGCCCCCTTAATTCAGTTTGCTGTAATTTTTTTGAGAGACAAATTGAGATCCAAAATGTTAAATTTGCTTAATTTTTAAAGAACAGGAAATATGAAATGATTCATAAAGGCATTAAATAAATTGAAACAGAGCATGAAACTATTTATCAACATTGTTTTGAAACAAACGTTAACACTTAAGCTTCAGAAATCATAAACATATCAGAATTTGATATAAAAGGTAACTTAACCCTTGCCCACATTATGGAAGCAGACCATCTCACTTGTGGGATGATCAGACTCTCTCAGTTTTAACAGAAAAAAAAAATTAGAAAAAATGGGAAGGTGACTTTTTATTTTTAAAATCTCCACTTTGTGGCATTTCAAAATGTCAAAGCTAAAAACTTTTAGAGCTTTTACATATTTTGTGTCTCTGAAATGTTGCTTTGGCTCAAAGGCCAAGTGAAAGTAAATTACAGTGTAGAGGATATGTAATAATGCACCTTTTTTATGTTTGTTCCTTTTAATGTAGTTTTGACAATGGTTAGTATATTTGTTCTAAAATAATCTCATCATTTTTTGCCAAATTGCATTTTTGGTACTAATTCCAAAATTACAGCCAGGACAATTTACTTCCACCTGTTTTGTTAAGTATTTGTATGATGCAAACTACTCACTCGTTAGCTAATGAATACCACGTACTGTTTTTAGACCTTAAAGACATTTCCATAAATATATTCTCTTAAGCCAAATAATTTAATTTACATCTATTTAGGCAGCTTTAATAAGAAAAGCATACTAAGAATATTGGAAATATTTAATACTCATATTATTGCTTTTATCTCTGTAAATTTTAGTAACACTGTTGCCGAATCAATTATTTTCCAGTGCAAGCTACCCACAGCAGAAGAATGTATGCAGTTAGCTGAGACAGCCTATGCAGATGGCAATATATTTGAAACTGTAAAGTATTACTTGCTAAGTCAAGAACCTGAAAAAGCCCTTCCTATTGGTATTGACTTTGTTAAAGGTAAGTTTTTAGTTGGTAGTATAAAGCAAAATCTACTCATTTATTTGATCTTTTCATTCATATTGATGATCAGCTTTAATTTAAATCTTCAGATCAAGGAGTAGTCATCTTAAATTTTAAAAGGAGAGTGATTACTAATGTGAAATGTGATCTCTCTTCTGATTTCTTGGTATTGGGTCCTGAGAGAGGGTAAATAAGAAAATACTTGTGATCTAGAAAATAAAGAGTTAGGTAAGACTGACTGACAAAGAATTAATCAGCTATGTTAAAAATTGGATGAACAAGTATGATACTATTATTTAGAGAACTTTTCATTTGGTTTTATTTTGTCAGAATACATCAGTAGTTCAAATTGGACGTTGGATACCATTTACCCCGTTCTTGACCTTTTGAGTTACATTCGTACTGAAAAATTAGTCTTGCATACATGTACTGCGTGAGTACTTTTTCTCCAAAATATATAAGTGGTTTTATGCAATGTTTTCAAATGGCTCCATTGTTCTTGATGTTCAGATCAAGAAATAGAATCATCTTGGACAGGTAGCTATACTTGCAGAAAAGTTACATTTTTATTTATTATAGTCTTATGAAAATATATAGAGGTCAACTTGAAACCAAATATTAAATATTAGTGGTCCCAGTTCGTGCATGAATGTTTACATATGTGCATATACACACACATACCTGGTTCAAAGAATGCTAGTCCAAAGCCTGTGGATGGTTTTGGACCTCATGAAACTAGTGGTCATATTTATTAAGTATTCATTGTATGCAAAACACTATATTAGGCCTGGGGGAAATAAGTAAAAGTGCTAGAAAGTAGAAAATAGACACCATCCCTGAAGACAAGCACCATTTAAGTTATTGTCCATATAACTAAAGCCCTCAGAGACTCAATTTACAAGAAAGGCTTAGGGCATTTTTTAGTTTAATGCTTATGTGGAAAAGATGATGCAGCAGCCTGGGAAATTGGCAAAATTATCTCAGCAAGAAATGCAGTCGATATGCTTTACCCTTTCCTAGAGTCCACACAGAATTCCAGGAACTCCTACAGCTGACCAAAGCAGTTATTTAGAAACTAATCACAGGAAGATATAGACAGGGAATAGAGAAAAACAAGCAGGCAACAGTTAGATACTATTTAAAGACTTTTATTTTGAATTATATTTTATGGTATAACATAAATGTCTGAATAGCAATTATTAATTGATGAATAAATCATTATTAACTGATGCATGGATAAAATTTTCTAAACATACATTGCTATAAATGTCACCCATCAAAATATAGAGATACAAGTACATAAACTATATATGAAAATAAAATTCTATGCCTCAAATTGTGGAAGTTTAAAAATATAAATATTTTTTCTTTTAGAGCTCGAAATGAGTTGCTAATATTATGTGGTTATATTGGTGCATTATTGGCTATCAGGAAACAGTACCAAAGCATTGTTCCAGCACTTTATGAGTACACAAGGTAAAAAAATATTTTTCATCTATCATAAAATTATAGAGAAATTCCTTTCACTGAAGTAGATGGTATCTAAGTGGCTTATCTAAGGCATTAAATGTATGATTACATACATCCATTATTTGTTCAGCATGTACTTTATAATAAAGCAGCAATTAACTATATGAATTAAGAATGCATTAGGCTGTAAATAACAGAAATCCTAATACTAGCTTAAACTCATAGAGTTTATTGATCTTGCATGTGAAGACATAAGATAGGCATTCTAGGGGTGTTACGGCTATTCAGTGATTTAAAGGGCCTGTGTTCTTCCCTTCTTTCAACTCTGACGTTCTTGGCTTCTTTCCTCTTGCTTGAGTTTCCTGTTACGAGATAGGTGCTAACCTCCATATAATGACAACCTTCTAAGCAGGAAAGAGGTAAGGGTGAAAAATAGAGACCACAAATGGCTTTTCCCTGGCAAGATCATTTTATCCAGGTAGGATAAAACCTTAGGGTTTTATGCCTACATCCATTGGCCAGAATTGCATAACCTAATTTTCAAAGAAGATGGGAAACTGAGCATTTTGGCTTTCTAATTTCTACAGTAGAAAAAGGCAAAGTAAAAGGGGTTTGTGAGCAGCAGGTAACTTACTGTTAATATTTAATATTCAGGCATAACCTAACAGCCAAACTCCTACATTTTCTAAAAGCTTACTGAACTTCAGCCATTATGCTTCAAACTTATTATACTCAAAAAGAAAATTCACAGTGCCTTTTTCCCATAAAAAACCATTTCCAAGTCTACTAGTTTGCTAAACAGCATAGTAGGTGAGCTTTTTAACTCTTAACAAATGCTGAGAGTCTATGGGTGCACAACTTTTCTGAGTACCCTTCATATGGGGCAGAGGATTCTGAGAAAAACAGGCTTTCTCATTCCTAACTTCTCTCTATTGTGTCAGTGAAGCAGTAGCTGCCACCTAATGCAAACTGAGGAATAATATGGAATAAATACTATGAGGGCACTCAGGGAAAAGTCTGTTTCTACGTAGGCAGCATAACCCAAATTTGAAAGCAACTTTTAACAGTATTAAAATATAGGAGCAATAGGATGTATCACATAGAATTAAAATAATGTTTAATCAAATATATTCAATTATATATAATGATGAAAGTAAAGAAGAAGAAAATAATAATTAAGCATAAAATTAATATCAAGAATAAAAAGAAGGGTTTAATTTGAAGACAGAAGAGACTTGAGAGAGTATGTCTAAGGGCAACATGTTAGTTGAGAAAGAGAAATTAACAATTCCCTAATTTTAAAGAGCGTCTCCTCTCTGACAATTCCATCTTTGCTGTCTTGTCTTGCTGCCTATATTTATTTTCCTAACCCAATAAATATATGATCCCCCAAAGTTTTATTCTCTTTCATTCTCTCCTCCTCTCCTTCCCTTTTTCCTGCTCCACATCTCTACGTGTGTGTATATTCAGGAGCTTGCTAAACTCCAGCCTTGCGAAACTCAGTATGCTCAGAATTAAAATCATCTTCCTTCCAAATCTACTCTTTCTCCTGTGTGGGTGTGTGTGGTTTTTTGATGGTATCATTATACATCTGTCATCCAGGATTAAATGATCAGGGTCATGGTTAAGTGTTCTCCCTCACTATGGCTATTATCCAACATTGCTTGATTTGGCTAACCATTCTCTATACATTATATAGTTCATTTATTCATCCACTCAATCATTCAGTCACTCATACAAACAGTGTTTACTGAATATCTTTGACTTACCAGGGACTTTGCTAAATACACATGTAAGCATCTGTATCTATACTACCATGTATAATACATGTACACACAAATATATTTTTGAATAATAGTTGTTAATTCTAAAATTGCAGTTAAAGTTCATTTGCATTTTCTCGTATCTTAGTTTTTGATGTCATGTTAATTTTCTTTCACATGTTCAGTCAGCTGTTAAAACGTCGGGAGGTGTCAGTACCTCTAAAACTTGAACAACTTTCCGAAGAACTGGATGCATGGAGAGCTTGTACACAGTCCACGTATGAGTGAGTTAATATAATATAAAAATTGGAATGCAGAGATCTTTAATTTCATAGACAAATCTGTTGGGAATGTGCATGGTCTCATTATAAATTTTAGCAGAATAATGAATCTTGATTTGTTTAGCATATATTCACTTTATGCTAACAAATCAGTAACATGCAGTAAGAATTTACAATGCTGTTCTTTCTGCCTTTTTAAAGACTTTTGTTTTATTATAAATTAAGTCTAAAATTAATTTGCCTCCATCTATAAAGAACTAAATCATCATCAGGGATTATTTCTAATCTAAACCTCAGTAATTCTATGATTCTACAAAAATGAAATTTTAACATCTGTTGAAAACATAGATCATTGGAAGACTCTCCTTATACACCTCCTTCTGATTCACAAAGAATGGTTTATTCAACTTTACTAAAGAGGCTAAAGGAAGAATCACTCCAAGGAATTATTGGACCAGATTATGTGACTGGATCAAATCTTCCAAGTCATTCTGATATTCACATCTCTTGTCTAACAGGATTAAAAATCCAGGTACAGGCTAATGTCAGGTATAAATTGTATATTTCCATGATTTTTATATGTTTACTTTTTTGAAATATGATCTTAAAGCAAGCATAAACTGAATAAAAGTAGGTAACTATAAAGAAGTCTGGAGTCTAGTAAGGAGATATTGCCCTTACTGCTTTTATAGTTAGTATAAATAGTCTCTTTCTCCTTAAAGTAAATTCAGCGAGACAGTCATTATACTATTACCATAGAAGCAATTCATGTAATATGTATACTTAATAATGAATAATGTGTATCCTTAGGAACAAATACAATTAAAAATACATATAGGTTATATCCTGAGAGAAATTATTATTTGTTTTATTTTTATTTTTTTTTGAGACAGTCTCACTCTGTTGCCCGGGCTAGAGTGCCGTGGTGTCAGCCTAGCTCACAGCAACCTCACACTCCTGGGCTCAAGTGATCTTCCCGCCTCAGCCTCCCAAGTAGCTGGGACTACAGTCGTGCACCACAATCCTGAGAGAAATTGAATAAGGGAGCAAAGCAACAATCAGCACAGTTACAATGATTATATCACAATAGATTAAATGTAACTCTCTAGTCTTTATTTGTGTTGTATGAAAACAAAGCAATTAAAGACTGAGGGTTGTATAATATATTGTTTAGATATTATGCATGTTCTTACATCAAGTTACTGAGCTTTTAAGCAATTAAAATTTATTAGGATCAATCACAAGGGATGCCTAATTGCCAAGGAATGGCCCCTAATGTACAATCAAATTAGTGAGGACAAATGATGCCAGAGCCTCCCAGTAGGGCCCAGCAATGCCCTTATCTCAAAGAAATAGGAAGTCATCTAAGAGCCAGTACTAGTTGTAGGAGTCCCCAAGCAAACAAAGCCAGATCTCCATGAAATGCTAATTGACACTACAGAGTAGACTAAAAGAGCTCCACCTCCCAGTAATGTACATATTTTACTGAGTAGATTCTAATTATTTCTAATGTAGTGTAGAAAATTACATTTCTGATGCTGACATGCAAAGCCAATGAAGAAGGTATTTTTTGGCACAACCACCCAAAACAAATATCTGGATACTAATATAAACCCTAACTATAGCTTAGCTTGCCATTGCAAGGTAGTGAAGTCTCAGAGCACACCAGTATATTCCAAAAAACAAACAGGTCTCATAGTTGTATATACCTTTATTACCCACTTATTTCAGATATAAAAAAGCAGTAAATTCAATAGCTTATAATTAAGAGCAAAAAATATGAAATTTTTAGAGTATGTCCTCAGTGGCACTTACTGCCCTTTATGTGCCATTTCTAGTACTTAGTACCTTTGTGTTCCTTTTCTCCTTAAGATTCCTTTTCCCCCTCTGGGATAGCCAAATGACCTAATAGATTTAACCTCTCTATTTAACTATTTAACCTCTCTGTACCCAAAATTATGTCTACTAATTATCTCATATACACTAAGGTGCACATGACTAATAAAAATGGAGTGCTACCCTCTCAGGATATTTCTATGTCAACAGAACATTAATATGCTTGAGTTATAATTGTGAAATTCCAAGTACCTATTAGCAGGAAGTTGTCAACTTTACCTGCTCCTATGACGGGCTTTCCATTATCTAGAAATAATTTGCTAGTAACAAGAAGTATCGTTTGAAATTATGACCAAAAACCTGTTAGCCTTCAAACCTAATTAAGAAAGTAAAATTTTTATTGCATTTTGTACTTTTTAAATCATGTTTTCCTTCTAAGAGCTGAGTAATACAGATTGAAAAGTATTTGCATTTGGTTTTTCCTAACTACCCTTGGTATACATAATACCTGATGCAACTAAATTATAAATATGCTAGTAATCACATGACTGGATATAATTTAAATTACATATACAAATATAGAGCAATATATTCTTCATCTTCTGGAGAGCAGGTTCAAAGTTTCTGGCTTAAATAATTTCTCCAGCTGTATTGAAATAGGCTACATGATTAAAATAGTTAAATATATTTGTCTATTACTAGACATATAAAATAAATAAATAAACTTTTTATAAAATATATAAACTTTATGGCAATTTATTTATAAAATGGATAAACTTTGTGGCAATTAATAGATTAATAATACCTATTGTATTGTTAGCACTACTGTATTTAAAGAATTCAAATTATAAAACTGAATTCTATTTGGACAGACATTAGGGAATAATAACATAGTGTCAAGATACTTAAAAATGTTTCTATATTTGATGGCAGTTCAGAAATACTAATTTTTTTCTTAGTCTTAAATTTCCCATTAGCATTGCCTAAATGTCATCATTATTTCTTTATTAGTGGTTATCTTTCTAAAAGTTTAAAAATATCTTGCAGACTTATAATTTCATCTTATCTTTCAACTCTCACCATATACAGGGCCCTGTATTTTTTCTTGAAGATGGGAAATCTGCTATCTCATTGAATGATGCTTTGATGTGGGCAAAGGTGAATCCATTCTCACCTTTAGGGACTGGAATACGACTCAATCCATTTTGATAGAAGATTTCTCTCCATGATTAATTGTTTTTTTAAAGAAGAACTTCTGTGGGTTAGTATTACCTTCATCTTGGTTGTCCAAGAACCAAAGGTTGGGGGGAGGATTAGGGGTTGGGAAAGGTAGAGAGTAACAGTTAACTTTATTCATTCACTTTAAAAAATAAAATGTTTATACAATTTAAAGGAAAATTTGTTGTCTCCTTTATAAAATATAATAGCCACATTTGGGAAGAAGGAAATATATAAATTATAAAGGACTGAATAAAAGCATATAAAAGTTTCACAAAGCATGAAAGATATCAATCAGAATACTATCTTGTTGAAACATTGAAACATATAAAATAATGCAACACTTAGCATCATACTTGACATACAATAAATACTTAAAGAATATTCAAATGACTGAATATCTTGAAATATTGAAATGTAAAGTGTGCATAACTGATCTTCAAGTTAACAAAACACCCATATTATCCTTTATAAAATGTACCATAAACAACTAATTTTGTTTATATTGAATAAAATTTTTCGGTTATAAGTTTAGTACATATCAATAAATGGATACACTGTCAAAATACATTTTTTTAAAAAATAAAACATTATCAAGTTTTTTATGTGAAGTTCAACAGTTCAATTATAAATACATAAGTTATATAGGCATGAAAAAATTTGGGGGTGAAAAACACAAAGTCCAGTCAGATATATCTGAGAACTGTGTTAGATGATAATTGACTGTTTTAAAAAATATTTGGTATGCATAGATATCAGTTTGTGATTGATGCATTTAATACTTGCATAATAAACTTGTATCAATTTATATTAACTTTATCTACAGCACAATTTATTTGATGAAAATCAGCTTCAAATAATTTCTATAAGAATACTAGTTGAAATTTTGGATATATTACATAAATTTAATTTTAGAAATACTTATTAAAAGTATAAAGCTGTGAAAAGCCTGATATGTAACTATAAATATTTCGATTGGACTAGAATTCTGACTTTGAAATTTATGAAATTAGTGCATGCTAGGAAGAATAGTACTTTGATACTCAAGTTGTTTTACAGGATTTATAATATAGATGTTTTTGCCTGACTAAAGAGCAAGCTCATATAACTAGAATAATTGTGGTTTTTATTATCTATAATTTATTATTTTATAAACTTTTTGCATTTAAAATATATATATATATTTTTGAGACAGAGTCTCACTCTGTTGCCCGGCTAGAGTGCCGTGGTGTCAACTTACCTCACAGCAACCTTAAAGTCCTGGGCTCAAGCAATCCTTCTGCTTCAGCCTCCTGAGTAGCTGGAACTACAGGCACATGCCACCATGCGCAGCTAATTTTTTCCATATATTTTTAGTCGTCTAGCTAATTTCTATTTTTAGTAGAGACGGGATCTCGCTCTTGCTAAGGCTGGTCTTGAACTCCTGGGTTCAAACGATCCTCCTGCCTCGGCCTCCCAGAGTACTAGGATTACAGGCATGAGCCACCATTACTGGCCCCATGTTTAAAATATTTTTAAAACCTTCTTAAACAATCTTCTTAAAACTAGAAACAATATATATTATGTATCTATGTATTATATTTATCCCATGGACCACCTCTAACTTCTCAAAAAGATATTACAGGCTTAAATTCCATTTATAAAAAAATTAATAAATATTGTAGAAAATAATATATGTAACTCAGAGATACAATAGGTAATATGAAGAGTACCTGAGAATTAATTTTCTAACTCCTAGTGATATCTGTAACTCAGATTTTTCTGAGTTACAGGTGAGGAGAATTATTAATTGACACATATGTATTGAAATCCCCTCACTTAAAGATGGCTCAGTCATTCTTGTAATTTTATTTTAAAATAGATTAATAAGGCTATCTTTTTTGGGCTTTAAATACTTTAAAGGATATCAGTAAGTTATACATATATAAATAATTATTACCTTCTGTATGTTTAATGAATGCAGGAAAATAATATTATATATAAAATATGAAGAAAAGTTTCATACAACTTTTTAACACATGAATAAAACCAAAGAGTAACTCAGTTTCTTTCTAAAATCTAAATTGGTCTAAATTGGATATATTCAACCATCATTCTATTATTACCATCTTATTATGCTTCTCTACAATGTTCTATGCCTTACTATTAATTATATAACTACTAATTCTTCATAGAATTATAAATATGCCATTTATCTATGTCAATTTGTATATATTGTGCCTTAATATGAAAAACAAAAAAAGTTTAATTTACAAAAATGTTTTTATTGTTAGATTTCATATGCATGAAAATCCAAACAAATAATATGAATTTATTTTATTATTTGAAGATGTTCATATTATCAATAGTGTGGACAAATTATTTTGCAGGTTTAAATATGCCTTTATGAAGGAAGAATCTCATTAGACAATGATTTTTGAAGCATTGGGAAAATATTTTACCTAAAAGTTACCAGTTACCAGGGGGTTAACATAATTACATCAAAATGAGTTTACATTTTGTGAAAATATGATTTTCATGTCAATCAAGATAAATTAAATATATATATTTCCATGAAATTTTCCAAATGTTTTCAGCAACATGGTTGCATTAGAGCAATGGCTGTATTTCATTGTCCTTATAACAAGAAAATTTACATATTTTGGTTATAAATCAGAAAGTATTCTGAATATAGTAAAAGCCTCACTAAGTATTTGTAAAATTTAGTCTTTCATAATTTGTGTATCACTAATATGGAAGACATCTTTATAATCAAGTCTTAATAAATGCTGATCGTACCAAATCTTTGAGACATTTGTGCCTAATAATTAAAATATGTACTTTCATGCTGAATTTATACACCTGTGCTATTTAATATGACAAATCCTAATCTAGATTTATATGTATGTATGTATTTCAGGTCTCCTAAATTTTAATAAATACTACAATTAAAGCCTGATATGATGTAGTGAACTGCTTAGATGAGCAGTAGTCTCGTCCCTGAAAATACCATTGAGAGACCACTGTTTCTCCATAAATGCTGGGTCAGAAGCATTAGAGGAATGAAGGGTTAAGCTGTCCAACTGAGTTGTTACTCTACCCAGAAACCTAGGAAAATCACTTCAATGGATTGTTACAGAGGCTGATTCTCCACTTACGAGAAACACTGACTACATTATACCTCAAAATAAGTGTAAAAGGGGAAAAGCACATACTATTTAATAGAAACAGCATGTCACAGTGGCTTCTATCCCCACGATAAACATTCTGTCCATTGAAAAGGTTCTGTGCCTATATGGGCTAGTATAACTCCTAGAAATTTCATTGCTTTCCTCTGTCCAAGATCCCATTTGAGGTAAACGGTCTTCCTAAAACAGGCCTGTGTATTGTTAGCTTCTGTTGACACAACTCATCCTTAAGAAGCTCTTGAGATTACCTACTGTGACTATACTTGCTACCGTCATTTACTTATTATGTAATGCAGCCTACACACTATTTCACGTAAACCCCGCAGAGTGTTTCCTAACAATATTTTATGGGTTAAAAAATCATTCTCATGATTTTATAGTTCAGATTGTCCCATTAGAATGCAAGACAACAGGTAAATTACTTAAGGCTGGTTAAGATAAAACTGGATTCTGAACACATTCCTAAGAGGTACTTATATCTTCAGGGCTCTCTTTAAGTTTTATTCCTAAATATTATCTATCCAAAAATGTAAAATTTAGCAGGAAAGTCTCTGAAGGTTGAAATGATAATAAAACTGTCTAAACCTTCAAAAATACAGAAAAGCTGATACATTTGGCTGTAAACTGGCATTCATTTTGTGGGATTCAGCATTAGTTATATTCATCTCGGAAGTCAAATGACACTGTCAATTAGCTAACATTAAAACATGAATAATTCCAGTTGAAATAAGTTTTCCACATATGAATATAAAATTACCAAGAATATATGAAAAATAATTAGTTTTTCGGAATATCAATCTGCTTTTGTTTCCCTTCAATAAAAATATGAAACATAGCGGCATCCAGTAGGAATTTTTAAATTGAACTAAATGGATTGCTAAACACCGGAGCCAAATTCTAAGAAAAGCATGATTTTCCTTCCCCACAACTCCTTATCAATAGGAAAGGTACCTGTTTGTTTAAGTGGTTTAAATTAAGGGTCATAGAGATGATGAATAAGATTTTCTATGGGCCAATATTTAATAATTCAAAATGAATTTTTATTAATGAATATTATATATAAATATATAATAGCAGGCAAAGTAGTAGCCCTAATGAGGAAAACATATTACAAATTAGATTCATCATTCCTATATAATTTATGAGAAAGAACTGTTACCATGGTGAATTATGTTTAACTGTACCTTTAAAATTATTTTTGCTCATTCTGTACTTATTTGATTTTATATTTTCCACAGTACCTGGTACTGGTTTTTACTAAATGGTTATTGAATTGAATTGAAAAGAAATGTTCTTAGCCCAATTATGGATAAGACACCACTTCAATTTATTTATTATTGAAGTACATCCCAGACTAGGTGATAATATCTCTTTAGTATGGCAAGAGATGGTGGTATCAATTCCTCAAAGCCATTTGACACAGGTGCTTTTCAAGTTTTATTTTCCATGTCTTTGGCAGGTTTCAAAACAATCACAAGGTTTTCCAGCTTGGTTCACATAAATTTCTCGATGGGAACTGCTACGGTGACTTGTATTTTCTGAAATATTTAAATAAACAAAATTAAAATCAATTAATAGTTTTTAGATATTTACACAACCATCAGTGTTTCTAATATATCAAATATATGCAGAATGATTGGCAGCAGGCTGAGCACAGGTTAATCTGTCTGCTAAACAAGAATATTTAAATCATGCATATCGTAGTCATAGATAAAAAAAACATCTGAATGTCACCCACCTCCAGAAGTCATCAGCAGTGTCTAAAAATATCCAGGGCTTATTTTGGTTCATCTGATACTGAATATGACTCAACTATTTTTAGATATTGCTTCAAAAAGCAGCTGAGGCAACAGTGGCACAATTTTTGATTTAGATTTGACAAATGTCCATGATTCATAATTCAGTTTATGGAACTCTGATTATACCGAGGCATTCAAGCTGGCCACCCAGACTCTTTAGGTCACTCAGTTCTAATACAGGGGGCCAGTAACAACTAAGAAATCTCTATCCCATTGGCCCATAATTTTGCTAGATACTAG